TACTATATATAAAAGCAAGAAATGAAAAATGGTAGTTGAGATATAGGTAACCCGTTTCGTCAGAAGATGGTGAGCATTGCAAAGGTCTCTTTATAGGTGGCCTGTTTTCTTTTAATGAGCTTGGTAATGCTATATGAAGACAAACAATATCATAACATATAACATATAAGACAATTCCTAAAATGATGTTTTAAATAAAACATAGTTCACATACACTGTTGAGATTTAGGTGTGTTTGACCGTATAGAGAAACAACCAGAGTTGCTGACATCTCTAAGAATTTCATCTATGTATATAAACAAAAAAGACAACACAATTTAAAAATAATTCAAAGTATAAAACTATTGAGTAAAGCAAATAATAGATAAAAACTCACTTGAAGTAGATATGTCAGATGTAATCCGAGATGAACTCTTCACCAAATCGTTTGAATTGCTTAAATCTCTAAATATCATATCAAATGCACCATAAATAGGCTTTATGGAATGTGTTTGGTTGGTAGATGTTGTCTTCTGTTTTTTCTGAATTATGTTTTCATCATTTTCGTATCCATAACAATTTTTTTTAGAACTATGCATTGCATAAGAAAGTGAACATAAGTGTAAATAGAGGTAAACATGAACACAAAGAATGTTATGAAGCGGAAAACTTGACTTATATGAATGAATGGTTGTTTGTTCGAAAATTCAAACTAAATGTGATCCCTTATGAATAGGAAAACAAATATTCTACATTTAAATTCATATATCTAAATCCACAAATATAGATCGTAAATATAGAGAAAGAATCAATTTAGTTACAAATTGCCAAATGAAAAGGATAATTATAGTTAAGTAAAGTAAGTAATAAGGTTAAAAGATATAAGTTATAATACATTATTCAGTTTTAGCTATTGATGGAATTTGTTTTCGGTTAGTAGCTATACGGATCTTTGGATATATAGATTCGTATAAGTATATTTAATTTTTTTACAATTTTTGAAATAATACTCCATAAATTAATAAAGAGTAATACGTTAAAATTGATTATAAGCTAATTATGTTTGACTACTATTTAATATATCATTGATTTCATTTGAATGATGGTCATAAGATTTCAAAGACAAATTAGAAAATTAATAAAATGATATACATAGTAAAACAAAAAACTAATGGTGTGAAAAATGGTACGACATCATAATATTGATTAAAAATAACCATCCGATTACAAAAAAGTCATCCAAAAGCTAAGTAGAATAAAAAACAATGATAAAAGAAACAATTATTCAGACGATTAAAACATAACAAAACAGTTAAAATAACTGATTTCGGTTCTTAAATCATGGCTTCTCTGTCTTCACGGTCTTAAGGGGCAGAATACTTGGATTAGTCTCAACAGTTTTCTCATCCTTACACTTCTTCTTTGCAGCCGAATACTCATCAGTATCCTTAATCACTTCCATCTTTTCATTGCTCTTGCGCTTAGAAGTAGGTGTAATTTTAGAATCATCATCATCCATAATCATTAGAGGAACCTATAACATATTAATTAATCTGTATCAATGAAAGTATTATATAATAGTACACATGAATGTAAGAAAACATAATACACAAATATACATTTCCATCAAGAGTATTGTGAGCTTTTTCCTCTATCTTGATACTTGGAGTGCTCTACGAAAAGTGAAAGTAATGAATTGTAAAAAATAAAGAATTAGTGTATAAATATTTTTTGATAACCAAATGATATAATTGTACCTGAGGAGTAGAAATTTCAGAAAACTCCTTAACCACATCACTTTGTGTAATTATACTGATGACCTTGTATGTGTCACTATTGAAAACAATATTTGAACTTGCAATTGCAATCTTGAAGAGAAACGTTTTACCACAAATATTGCTCAAAGCTAAGGGCAAGACATCTGGATCCTGAATCTAAACAAAGAGGAATTTTAAAAAATTTAAATAGATAAGGCCAGAAACGGTCATGGACAAATGCATTAGAAATATAAACCTCATTAACAGACTGAGTTAACTGAGCAGCAGTTTGGTTGACAACTTCATTTGCTTCTTGATCAAATAAGAGGAATTATCCATGACACAAAAAGTCAACATGAACATATCATATATTTCAAAATAGGATAAGTTGTACTTTATTAGAAGTGAAAACTTTACTATAGCACAAATACAATAACAGACTTACGATAGATAAACATTCTCAACATCCTCATTGCATTTTTTGCACTGCCACAATTGTTTCTTAAATATTTTCCCAGGATATAGTTCTTTTAAGTAATCCATATCATGAGGGAGAACCTTTTTAGCACAGGCTCCACATGACATGTAATACCAGCGAAACTTAGTGTCTATAGACATAATTGTGGCCATGGTAACACATTTGACAACCTTTAAAAGTGGATAATGATATTAGAATCAAATTTAGGTTATATAAATCGAACTGTCAGAATATATAATTACCTCAGAAGCAGCAATAATCTCGCTAATAGTCCTTCGAGGACTATGCAAGAAGAAATCGTCCCTTACTGATACAGAATTGACAATAGTCAACTGATTTTGATGGGTATAGGTCAGGGTTAAACCATCTTTTGGCAATCTGTATAAATTATATTACATAGTTATCAGAATACAAAACTTGAGAAATTATAAAAAACATGGAGATAAGTAGTTTTACCTCTCTTTAAAAGCCAAACTCTCTGGAAACACTAGATCAGTAATGACCATCGAACAGTTGTAGCAATTGCCAACACTCCAAACACCTTGATAAAGTTTTAACTTTCCAAAACGCAAAACAGCACGATCACAGCATCATTGGCATGTTGAGCCACACTTTCAAGATTTTCAGCAAATTGTCCCCAAAGAACACAATTAAGTCGAACATCTCTTCATTGAACATAATAAGTAAATTATTAAAAAGGATACTAAACACCAATAGTAAAGATATAGAGCATTAGTGATAGATTAGTAATGTAAATGCTAACTCTGTATCACGGATCTCCATAGAAAGCCTATTTGTCTGTCTCTTTCCAACATTCAAGATCTCTACATCCCCAATGCTCACAATTTGTCCAATAGCATCTGAGGTAAAAAAATCATGTTAATAATCTAGAATAACGCACACAAACTATATATTAAAGATATAATTTATTAATTAAAAACTTGCCTATCAAGAAATCTGGATTCATTTTGCCTTCGTGAATATCACTAAACTTGACGAACTTGAAACCTAGGATTCTTGGATCCATTACTTCTGCCGGTTTGACAGATGTTGTTGATGCGAAAAGGATTTTGTAAACGTGAGGGCTTGTCCTGAACTTACCACCATTAGCTACTTGAAAATTTGTGATAATTCTAGAGGCACCTTCCTCTAAGAGATTTTCATTTTTCTTGATGAACTCCTTCTTCAAAGTTGCATGCATGGTTTGATTCTGTGTATATGTAAAAGAATATGAATGCTTTAAAGATACATAGGTTTGTATGAAAGTAAAAAACAAATGACAGTGGTGAAATATATATATTAGTAGAAATGGTTAAAAGTAACATAGATAATATACCTTCTCATCAACAACAACCATTTCCAACGTCTCGACACCATTCAAGTACTGTTTCCACACCTTTAATATCTTCACATAAACTCTCCATTGAGTTTTGAAGGACTTCACGGAGTAGAGATCGGTGAAAGAAGACATAATAACAAGATAACAATTTTAGATTCAGAAATGTATTGAAAGGTGATGGATGAGGAAATATTGGAGAAACGTTACATCTATATATATACGGTATTAAGAGAACATCGAATTGCTAGGTTAAATATTTCAAATTTAGAACTTTCTTCTTGTTAATCTAATCCAGGGATCTCGGATATTCTTCGTTTATGAATAAATATATACCTTCCGCAATTTGAGTTATTGATATGGATCTTTATTTAGTTATTTAGAAATTTACCAAATTTTCAATGTAGAATATGCGAAAATATAGATACTTACTTAATCCGGTTGAAGTTTAAATTATTGTTATTAGTTGTTGATAAAATTGCTCAAAGAAAATATCTATCTTTCGAAAATATTGGAACAATGTTTTCAATGTGGAGATATGCGAAGATATGCGAAGATATAGGAACCAAATAATTCAATGTAGAATATGCAAAAATATAGGTAGTTTTTTTATGCGTTTCAAGTTTAAATATTTGTCCGGTTTTCCTAAAAAATGAGTAATCAATACTGAAGAATTTTTTTTAAAATGATATTAAAATAATACATTTTTAGTTTCGGAATTGTTGATGCTTATAAACGAATTAGCTAAATGATTAACTAATATAGGAATGCTTATACGATTATGAATAATGTATAATGTAATGTAGGAATAATGTATAACGTGAATTATGAATAACGTAATCTCCTTAATAATATTATTTCACAAATATTTATTGTAAAATTATGTTCATTCAAATTGTATAAATTAGTTAATAAGAGAATATATACATAATACGAAAATAATATTTGGAAGTCCAAAAAGATCAGAAGAGAAGAACACGTATTTGAAAAAATTATTGCAGTTAAATGTGTTTTAGGAAATAACGATCTGTTTGGCTATAGAGATAGTACGAGAATTATAATTAAACGAATTAATAATGTAGCTAAATACTAACTTTAATTTTTAGAGTTGCGAAGTGTCCAATAATGTCTCCACTTTAATATATGGGAGATATAAATTGTATCAAACTTAGTTGAAAATTAAAATAAAATAAAAATAAAAAAACGTCAGGGAGAAAGCAATAATTTCTATATTAGCTTGCGCATAAAGACAATTCCAGTTTTCCACTCTGTGTACTCACTTAAATTCGCCAGCTAATAATTTTGATTCCATATGAAAATTGAGGGTAAAATTCTAAACATTTTAAAAGAAGAGGGTTTTAAAAACAATATGCCAGCTAATAGGAAGAGAGAGAGAAAGAGTCTTTCGTCTTCACCATATAAATACACACTCACTTTTCCCGTCTTCTTTCAGACTCTTTTCTTTTTTGTAAAACATCTTTTCTCGTTTCCACCTGAGCGGAAAAAAAAATATTCGACTCTTTCTCTCTCTCTCTCGCTCGCTTTTTCGCCATGAGTCTGTTTGGATTGGGGAGGTGAATTTTCATGTCTTCTCTGCGTAATTGATGTTCAATTAAGATTATCTTCTGGAGATTTTGCGATTGTTTGTAATCTCAGATCTGTTTGAATAATAAACTAGTGATCCTGTTTTGTCGATTCTTAGGATCTCGTACATTGTATTATTCAGGATCACGGATTCGTTTGGCTTTCTGCTTTGTTTTGTCTGGTTTTCTTTTGCCTAATCGACTTGATATTTGATTTATGTGAATCGTTTTTGTGATATCGAATCAGAACTTATGATCTCTACTATGAACCTTACTATTCCGACTCGCTGATTCTATTTTCTTATACATGAACGTTGCTATGTTTGTGTATGTTTACATGTCTTGCTAAGTTTTGGATCTAATTTATGAATTAGGAATCTGGATCCGTTTCGTGGTGTTTTGTATGTATCGGAGGTATAGAAGTAGTTTTTGTAAGCTGTTCATGGACAGTTTAACACCAATTGGACTTCTCCTGATCAAATCATGTCATAGTTGGAAGCATTCAATGACTATAATGCTTCATATTTATGTTCCTTTGATTTGGAGAATGTTATACTAGATTTCAATGGTGATCAGATTTGTTTGGTTTCTCAGGGCGCTCATGATTGAATCTAATAAATGGAACCAAAACTAGAGATTAAGTGATTCATTTCTGTCAGATGAAGTGATTGTTGTTACAATTTTTTTCTGGGACACAAAGTTTACTGATAGATAAATACTGGATTTTCTTTCATTGTTGGATTTTATATAGACCATTCTACATTTCCACCTTCGAATTTATAGGCATTATCTGGATTCTCCTGACTGCTTTCCGTTTAAGATTGATGATCTGTTTGGTAACATGTCGTCCCTTTTTACTATCTTCATAGAAATCAGAAGACTTTCCGTCCTAAAAAGAGTGCACCTTCTGGAAGCAAGGTTTGTAAACTATTTGACCGTCTTCTTTATGTGGTTGATATCTTTGAAATTCTGAAGTTTGTGTAGATGTCATTAGTTTGACTTGTGATCTAACGTTTGTTCTTTTTGCTGAACGTTTCTGAAAGTATAGGGTGCACAGCTTCGAAAGCATATAGATGCCACCCTAGGAAGTGGGAACTTGAGAGAAGCTGTAAGACTTCCTCCAGGAGAGGATGCAAATGAATGGCTTGCAGTAAACAGTGAGCAACACTCTAGCAACACTCTGCTTATATATGTACATAGATATAGATTGAGAGAATTTATAGTGTGAAATAGCTTTGCTGACAATATTTTTATTTTCAGCTGTGGATTTCTTTAATCAGGTGAATTTACTATATGGCACACTAACTGAGTTCTGCACACCAGATAACTGTCCTACAATGACTGCTGGCCCCAAGTATAGCCTCCTCCCTTTCTTTATGTGTTATTTAAAGAAATGATTGAAATTTTCATGCCTCGAGTTCCATTCATTCATTAGAGGGTATTCTGATTTCCTTGAAAAGAAACAAATTTGTCAACTCATATCATATGGTATTTTCTTCCCCGTGATTATATTTTTGGGTCGTCAAGTAGTGTGCTGAGTAATTACACCTGTTATGCTCTCATTGCAACTGTAAAAAGGTCCCATTTCAGCTGGTTTGATCTCCTGACAATGGATGACTTCAAAATATAGATAGACTTCACCTATTCCAGAATTGAATGCTTCCAGCTTATGAACATACTGCTTCCTGCCTTCATCAGTCTCTGCTGTGCATTTGACCAATCAAACCAATAATATTCTGGTGTTCTGTTGCCATATATTCTTTCTTTGCATGCTTTTTTGTAAACATGGTCACAAAAAATTTGCAGGTATGAGTATAGATGGGCAGATGGTGTACAGATCAAGAAGCCAATAGAGGTTTCTGCTCCAAAATATGTAGAATACTTGATGGATTGGATCGAGACTCAACTCGACGATGAGACCTTATTTCCTCAAAGGCTTGGTAATAATAATGCCCATGATATCTATAAAGAGGATTCAATCAAATATCAACGACAAATGTTTACATCCTAATGTTTATTTATTTATTTTTTTGCAGGAGCACCGTTTCCTCAAAACTTCAAGGATGTGGTAAAAACGATCTTTAAACGACTATTCCGTGTTTACGCACATATCTACCACTCTCATTTCCAGAAAATCGTTAGCCTTAAAGAAGAAGCTCATCTCAACACTTGCTTCAAACACTTCATCCTCTTCACTCATGTGAGTTCTTCGTTTTAAACTTTTACTCTCGATATTATATTTTGAGATCGTTTTAAGTTTGTGCTATCTGGCCATTTCAGTTAACTTTTTTTTTGTCTTTGTTTTGTTATCTACAGGAGTTTGGACTCATCGACAAGAAAGAACTCGCGCCTCTACAGGAGCTCATAGAATCGATCATTTCACCTTATTGAGCAAAAGACAATTTCAGATTTTTCAGATTTAAAAAACCCCAAAATAAATAAAAGTAACGGTAATAAGCTTTTAATTTATAAATTCTCTCCGTTTGTTTCAAGTTTTTTTTTTAATCCTCTGTAAAATTTAAACATTTGCTATATGTGTAAAAAAAAATCGATCTTGACTACCCTTTATTCATGTGTTTTCATGTGAAAGAAAAAGGAACTTTACATTATTTTATTGATTGTCCCTGTTTTTTTTTTAATTAGTGATGATTTATAATTACCGCTAAGCATCTCGAATCTAACACTCGTCAACTATCATAAAGGTTGTGAATGGAACGTGAAATGTGCAAAAGCTGGCATAACCACTCAATTAATGATGTCTAAAGGGTGTTTAAATTCCTTAATTTATTGTACAGTTTTAAATTAAATTATTCACTTTTCAGAAAACATTCACTGCTCTCCCTCTCTCTCTCTGGATTTAGCTTTGGAGTTTTCTTCTTTTCTGTCAAAGTTGAATTTCGTTGTCCTCCTTTTTTTGGTCATTTGAAAAAACATTGATTTTTACGAAATTTCAAACCTTTGTGGATTGGGACTCATAAATCTTCGCGAAAGAATCTGAGAATCCAACACCAGATTCCGGCGCCGGACCCGCCGGTGATCAAATCAGGTCTTTCGATCTCCCGCGGAATTACATTGTTTCGATTCGGATCTAAGATTCCGGATTTTCTGTGGGACATTGATCTTCTTCGTCTTGGTGGTGGGTGTGACAAGTGAACAAAAATGTCAAAGGTCGTGTATGAGGGATGGATGGTGAGGCATGGAAGGAGGAAGATCGGACGATCGTACATTCACATGAGATATTTCGTTTTGGAACCTCGTCTCTTGGCTTATTACAAGAAGAAGCCACAGGACAATCAGGTGACTCTTCTTGCGTCTCTTTCTCTTTCTGAGTTGAGATCAGTCTTAAAGGATGCTGATTTGCCTAAATTGGTGTTTTCTTAATTCAAAGAGTATGGTTGTGAGGGTAGAGACTGGACTGTCAAGAGATTAGAGAAACAATAGGAACAAGTCGCAGCTTGATAAGTTACTATAAGAGCTTCTCAAATGGATGATGAGCTTGCCTCCTATATGGTCTCTAACACATGCTCTCTGTATGAATCACGTAGCTTCCTATCAAGACGATGGTGATTGATGGCAACTGTAGAGTTGAGGATCGAGGCTTGAAGACACATCATGGACATGTGAGTTTCGTTTGATGAACTTTTCTATTATTACCATTTTCCGACTGTATGTGCTTTATGTGTGCGTCAAAAAGGTGGTTTTGCAAACTGAAATCACACTGCTTGGTTTTGTGGCAACCTTTAAGAATCTTAGATAGGCTTGGATTTCTTATAAGTGGATACCAGTATCCTACTAATTCTTACTCTTGTGATTCTGTGAAGTTTATATTACCATTCTGATTGTTTTCAGTGGCTGAAATCCACGTTTGTTCCAAATTTATCTCGACGTAGGAACAGTATTTCTAATTGGGAACAGTACATCTAATTATAGCTGTTGTTAATCAGTTGATGGATTTCCTCATGCCAAGTTAATTTACTCTTATCATATCCTTGACTGTAATGTCGCTTATACCTTTGCGATTTCTTATTTTCTTGAATCTGTTTTGCAGATGGTTTACGTGCTGTCTATTTATAACAAGAAAGAAAAAAGCCATAGAATCACGGTACCTTGTCTTTTCTTTCTGCGAATAGATAATTTTTTATGCTTCTTGTTAGTTCATGTGGAGTATGTTCTTGCTAGATGGCAGCGTTCAACATCCAGGAAGCTTTAATGTGGAAGGAGAAAATTGAGTATGTCATTGATCAGGTCTGTCGATTTTGTCTCGCAATCTGTGTACCACAAAAATTTTTGGCATTCTTTTAAGCTTCTATCTTGATACTATAGGGTAACTTTCATTGTTTTGTGGTTGTTATATTTGGAAAAAGATGAGCTTTTATCAGTAGCTATTTAAAATTTGTGCTTATCCGCTATGTTTGTGCATTCTTGCAGCATCAAGAGTCCCTAGTTCCTAGTGGTCAGCAATATATTTCTTTTGAATATAAGCCTGGGATGGATGTTGGAAGGACTGCTTCATCTTCAGACCATGAAAGCCCGTAAGTGCTTAATTGACATAATAGGCATGTTGGTTTTATTTGACAACAACTCACTTGCTTAGGTTTCGTGATCATATGATTTACCTGTCTTAATCATAAGTTATCGTCATGGGGTACTATTCTTTCCCCTTCCTTTACAGAGAGTAAATCTGACTTGTGTTGAGGATTGTGATTCCTATTACACAGAGAGAGATTGTGGTTTGTGTCAATAATGATCATAGAATAAACTTGAAAAAAAAAGGATTATTAATCCTTTCAAATACCATTAGTAAAGTTAACAGTATTCTTAATATTAGCATGCCTTTTTCAATTCGGTTGTTGCATGTGGAAACTGACCAGTGTCATTTAATAAACTATTCCTGTTGATGTTTGACATTGTTTTCTTATGGTGACATTTATATACTTAAACTAAGGGAAAATATTGTTTGCTATTTTCTCTAGGTTCAGTGCGCTGGAGGATGAAGATGACGCTCGACGTGATTTATTGAGGAGGACAACTATTGGAAATGGTTTTTCCTGATTCATTTCTTCATGAACTAATTTGCTCAGCTGCGATCCTGAATGTAATCTGAACTCCTTAAACAAACGTGCAGGCCCTCCAGAATCAATATTTGACTGGACTAAGGAGTTTGACGCTGAGTTGTCAAACCAAAACTCCAGCAACCAAGCATTTTCAAGAAAACACTGGCGTCTCCTTCAGTGCCAAAATGGTTAGTTGTAAAACGTGTTACCGCTTCTGCAAGGCATTAGAGGGTTTTTTCCAGTGGTAAATTACAAAAAAATAAAAAATAAAAAATAAAAAATCACGAGTTAATAGATACAAATACAATAGTAAAGGTTTTGAATCTATTTCCCTCTTAAGGCCTGTAAAACAATTGTGCCTGTAATCTGCTTCAGAATAAATTTTCACTTCTATACAATCTGGAATATCAAATAGTAATCAATGATAAAGGTTGAATATATGCTTAATCTTCTCTCTTTTGTATACATTTGGCAGGTCTACGAATTTTTGAAGAGCTACTTGAAGTTGATTATCTTGTATGGAAGTTCCTAATAGCTTGTCATATTTGCGGCATAATTTCCTGTTGATTACATAGTAATTTTATTTAGTCAAGAACGATCATTTACAGTACTAAGCATGCAGCCTAGAAGCTGCAGCAGGGCAATGAAAGCTGTTGGTGTAGTGGAGGCCACATGTGAGGAAATATTCGAGCTTGTGATGAGCATGGATGGCACTCGTTATGAGTACGTTTTTCTCCGTCTTTTGTATTCTCATTCATATTTCGGTTTCTTCTTCTTCACTATTGTGAGGTCTTTATTTTTTTCTGTTTCCACATCCTACTATAATGTCTAGCCCAAAGTTTCTATAAATACAATGTAAGCGAAATGTTATTTCCTGTCTTCTGGCCTGTGATCTGACTCTATATTTCCCGGCTTTTCTTATGATTTTGCAGGTGGGACTGCAGTTTTCATAATGGGAGATTAGTGGAAGAGGTAGATGGTCACACAGCAATACTCTATCACAGACTCCTGCTCGACTGGTTTCCAATGTAAAAATTGCTCCCGAAAAATTATCCTTCAGTAATCAACTAATTCTTCTGTCTTATCCTAAACGGAATGAGCCAGTTCTTCTGCGCGTTCTAGGTTTATGCAGATTTGTTTTTTATTTTCCTTAGCATAATCACATGCTGCTTAGAAAACAATGGAAAGGAATTTTAGGCCATTATAATGCTTACCATTTGCGATAGTCCCGTTTCCAATCAGAATATTACTTGGTTGTTTTCAGGACCTCTGTTTAACCTTACTAATGCTATCAAAATTTCTGCAGGGTTGTGTGGCCTCGTGATCTCTGCTATGTACGTTATTGGCGTCGTAATGACGATGGAAGTTATGGTATCTTCCCTGCCCCCTTTACTCATGCTGGAAACTAGACAGCCTCTTTTATAACAATAGTTTTAATATTGTTCTCGCTTTTTTTGTGAAGTGGTATTGTTTCGTTCTAGGGAGCATGAGAATTGTGGTCCACAACCTGGATTTGTTCGGGCTCATCTTGAGAGTAAGTTTAGGATCTCTCTTTCTAACTAAATCCTTGGCCACCAAAATAGTCTAGTCTATTATGTATTACAATCTAACTGAGATTACGTTCTCTTGTTCAGGTGGAGGATTTAACATCGCCCCACTAAAACCTCGGAATGGAAGGCCCAGAACACAAGTGCAACATCTTATACAAATCGATCTAAAAGGGTGGGGTGCAGGTTATCTTCCAGCATTTCAACAACATTGTCTTCTTCAAATGCTGAACAGTGTCTCTGGTAAGTTCCTTTGTGCTCATTTCCACTGAGATCCCTGTTGGAAAATGACTTCTGCTCTTCTTGAAACTGCACTAGCGTGTCTGCCATTCTAAGTCATAATTAATCACAGGTTTGCGCGAGTGGTTCTCGCAGACAGATGATAGAGGTCATCCGATTAGGATCCCTGTTATGGTGAATATGGCATCTTCTTCCTTAGCCTTGGGCAAAGGTGGAAAGCCTCAGCATAAGTCTTCCCTTTCTATTGATCAATCAAATGGGGCCAGCAGAAACTCTGTGCTAATGGATGAAGACTCGGACGATGACGATGAGTTTCAGATAGCTGAATCAGAGCAAGAGGTTTGCCTATCAAGCATTCTCTTCTGAATTATTGATTTTACCAAAGTTAAGTCCTTTTACACATTTAACTATTTCAGCCTGAAACGAGTAAGCCGGAGAATCTCGCCAAGAAAACAGGTGAAATTAATAGTTGTTTCCCATCATCATACCTGAGCCAGTGAAAAATGTATCTGATTGCTGTAACTTTCTCTTTGTTATTTGAAACCTCAGAAGAGGAACCTGCTCTCAACATTGATCTGTCTTGCTTCTCGGGTAATTTACGACACGATGATAACGAAAATGCACGTAACTGTTGGAGGATTTCTGATGGGAACAACTTCAAAGTCCGTGGCAAGAGTTTCTGCGAGGATAAAAGGAAGGTTAGTAATGTTTTTCACCTGATGAAATGTCGAATGCATTATAAAGATGCACATTTTTGGTACACCGGAGCACCTCTTCGAATCTGATCATTCAACAATTTTTTCTGAAGATTCCTGCTGGGAAGCATCTAATGGATCTTGTCGCCGTCGATTGGTTCAAAGACACTAAAAGAATGGATCATGTGGTTAGACGCAAGGGCTGTGCAGCACAAGTAAGATATACAGTCACCTATAATCTTGTTTCTTAAGTTCCTCGTTTGTCTTAAGAGATGTTATTATCCCTTTTCTATGCTATTATCTAGCTTTGAGGGCTCTTGTTCTTCACTTGGAAGAATCCAATTAAAATATTATTAATCGGTCTCGAAAAATTCTGTTCAGGTTGCTGCAGAGAAGGGTCTTTTCTCATTGGTAGTAAATGTTCAAGTAAGTTTTGCCCGTGAACTACAATGTAATGATCAAACTACAAAAGCAGTCTTTATATCGATGTGTAACTCGGTATTTTGATAGGTTCCTGGATCAACACACTACAGTATGGTATTTTATTTCGTGGCAAAAGAACTCGTACCTGGATCCCTCTTCCAACGATTTGTCGATGGTGATGACGAATTTCGGAATAGTAGGCTCAAGCTTATACCCTTAGTCCCCAAGGTCTCTCTTTCTCTCTTCCTCTCTATCTCTCTCCCTCTCTATATGTAAAATTCTATAAGTATATTGACTCAAAAATTTACGTAATCATGCAGGGTTCATGGATAGTAAGGCAAAGTGTGGGAAGCACCCCGTGTCTCCTCGGGAAAGCAGTGGATTGCAACTACATCCGTGGTCCAACATACTTGGAAGTGAGTCCAAATCTTGTTAGCTTCTTAAAAGCTCTTAGACATAGAACTTAGAAGGTAGAGAAACTCAGAAGAAAAAGTTTTTCATTTTCATGTAGATAGATGTAGATATCGGTTCATCCACCGTGGCAAATGGAGTTCTCGGTCTTGTCATTGGCGTAATCACATCTTTGGTTGTCGAAATGGCTTTCCTTGTACAGGTAAAATCATTCTAACAAAAAAAAAACGAGACTTTGAATCTTATATGACATCTTTAAGATTGCTTCTTCTTCTTATTTTCTTGAAATCTTTTGAATGATCTTGGGATTGCGTTTTGTAGGCGAATACACCGGAAGAATTGCCGGAACGGCTTATCGGGGCAGTGAGGGTTTCTCATATAGAGCTATCTTCGGCTATAGTTCCTAATTTGGATTCAGATTAGTTTCTTAAGGTCTCTCTTCCAAACCCCTAACTCAAAAGCTTTACATCAACTTCATGTTTGGTCTTGTCTCCTTACATACACTGTCTATTCTTTTCTTTCCTGTTTTCTCTCCTAATCGTTTTAATGTTACATTATATAATGAGAAAGAGGAAGGAAAGTATTGTTTTACTTTATACAAAATTAAGCAACATGAATACATGATATATTGCGTCTATTGTGTCCATCTTTTTTTTTTGTTTCAGCAAGATTACTTTTCGTGGATATAGAAACCGAATGCTACCGCTAAGTATAATTTATAACTCATGAACTTCCTCATAATCAATATTGGTTAGTTTAGATAACTGATCGACCAAGTGTAGTTGACCCAAAAAGAAAAATCCAAAATGATTCGGTCTGAACCGAATCTAGTGAATTAGGTTTCAGTCAAATGAACATTTTCCTAAACCCAACTAATCAAGAACCATAATGATCTTCCAATCGATAGATATCCAATTAAATAAAGATAAAAAAAAAAGAATAGAAGCAGGTTCTAAGAAGATTTGGAAGGATTGAAGATTTGACCAGCGAACAAAACGGTTCCGGTTTGGTCTTCTCTAATCAAGAAAAAAAATGGATGATCAGCCACGAAATCTATTTTCTTCGGCTTTGGTGCTGCGTCAAGATAGCTGCCAACATAAGCATTGAAAGTGAAAGCTTTAGTACCTTTCTCATCAATCTCTATCGAAACCTTTTGGTACAATAAAACTTCGAGCTCCAAATCATCGAAAACCTTTGAAGCCTCAAACCCGAATTCGATCTTAAACTTTGGTATTCTGAATTTACCAACTTCAACTTTGTAACTTGGAATGTGATTGTCCAAGAATCCACGAGTAGATGTCATTCTCTCTAAAAGATTACCCAACCCATCTTTCTTGTTTGGTAGATAAAAGTACATTGAGAATTCTCGGTTGGTATCATCACGGCCTGCTCGATAAGGAAGCCTAAGGACCTTGAAACCATTGTAAGCAGTTATGTATTGTTTCTCATAGCTTCTCATGAATGGTACAGACACTGAGGTTCCATTGAGAAGGTGAAAGTCTTTGTCTTTCGTCATTGACTTGTCGAATTTGCATTCCCAAGCTCCCTTGAAATACAATGCGTTTCCATAGATCCAATCTGTGTCCTTCTTTCTAACGGATCCGGGAGGAAGAAGATTGTTGATGAGACCATTGCTGCGATTTGAAGCCCATTCATTCACCTCCATACGCACTTGTTCAGCCTTTTTTTTTCAAAACACCAAAAACCGAACCGAATTAATTTTTTAAAGATTTGTATGGAAATGTAACAATGAAACTGAATGCTAAAAACTAGGTCTCATAGTTAGGTTTAGCTGTAGTTACTTGCTAGACAATCCAGAATAGGTTTTTTCTAAAGTAAATTTCAAACATGAACTCTTCTGTTTCAGTTGAGAACTAGTTTAGGTTCTCTTTGTCTTAAAAAATTCAAATAGATCTTGTATATTTTACTGAGATGTAACTTTTTTTTGCTATTCTAAGAAATCCTAGAAAAATTCGTGAAATAATAGGAAACCCTAGAAACTTACCTTGGATCGGAAATCAACTTGAAAGAAATTAGCCTTGAAAAAATTCATTAAAAGATCCTTTGAGGAAGGACTTAACGAGAGTGATTGATCCATCCACACTCCATTAACCACTGCGATTTTAGGGCCACCGTTCTTGCTGCCGTCGGCGAGAACCACACAAGCGATCTCGCGGAAGACAGCGTTGAGCTCGTCGAGTGAAGAAGCTCTTAGCAAGGAGAGGGTTTCTTTGACGATGACGTCATCGTATCCGGAGGTGGAAGCCGCCATAGTGAGCACGGCGTTGATTGATGCCGTAGAAAAGACGAAGTTTGAGTTTTTGGCTACGGCAGAGATTACTTTTCCCGCAAGGAACAGAGCGACGTCGTTTTGCTTCTCCATGGCTTTTCTTACATCGATCGCTCTTGGCACTTCTATCTCTGTGAGAGTGGGGCTTGCGACGATTATTTCTTGTGATTTGCTGAGTTTTCGCTTTTTCTTATTTTTTCTATCCATCTTCTTTGAGAGAGAAGAGGGGAGACACTTTTGCTTTCTCGTTTTTGGATTCATCTTCAACGTTTTTGTTTATTTCCCTGTGAGAACACACATGACATACATACATATATAGAAGAGATATAAAAAGCCTAGTTTGTGATCAATAAACAACTAGGGTTTTTGGTATTGTGGCGAGTAGTCAGTTTAAAAATAAAATACAAAAATAAAAAAAATCATAATTCTTTTTTTTCTTAATACATATTTTCTTAAATCATTGTGTGTGGGCAAAAAAACCATAATTGAAAAAACCAAACCGAACCAAACCAAAATAAATAAATTTAGTTTGGTTATGAGTAACCTAAAAATCAATTTGGTTTTTATTTTTGTGGAGATTTTGGTTTCGGTTTGATTCGATTTAAAACCGTAAAAATTTAATGAATTTTCTAGTTTTTATATTTAATATTAAATAAATAAATAACTTATAATTTTTTTGGTTTAATAATGTTTTTTCTAGGGCAGTTGGGTTTCCTAGGGTTTTTAAAATTATAATTTAAGACTTAAATAAATCTATAAATGTTAACAAAAAAATCTATAAATAAGAAAAACTCTAGTTCTTAAGTAAAACAAACAAACATGGATGTGAGGTGGTTTCTGAAAATTGTATCTTTTTCTTCACAACTCATCTTCTAATTATAGCATTCTAGGTATTTAATTGATTCCTTTTCTTTTTTTGGTATTCTAATTATTTTTTAATTTTACATTTGGATTTTAAAGTTTTGAATTTTCTTTTTTTTTGCAGTTATTAGCTTAATATATTATTACGATTCATTTTATTTTTCTTTATTGAAAGAAGTATTTATTTTATAAAAAACATTAAAAACCATAACCGAACCAAATTGAAAAATGGTTTTTATATGGTTTTATTTTTACAAAACTGATAATCCAAAAACCGTAAAAAGACCGAACCATACCAAACCAAAATATATATAGTTTTTATATGATTTGAATTTTTCTAAAACCGAAAAAGCTGAACCAAAATTAAACTATAAACGGAAGTGCCTGAAACCCAAAAAGAGATTAAAAAAAAAGGGCTTCTTGCACATATGACCTCAAAATTGAAGTCAAATGCAAATCTAACCTCTTTTTTCTTCCTCTTCAAGATTAGCCAATTTCTCCCCACTTTCTCCCTAAAGCCATATATAATAACATAAATGCCATTATATTTATAATTATCGAATTTTTTAGGTAATTCGAAAAAGACATACCCATCCTAAGCTATTTTAAGTATTCACGAAAATGCCATCATCTTCAATTTCGCCAACTACCATTACCAACCAAAATGGAAGCTCTTAATGCTTGCCCATCTGCACTTGAAGCTCTAAATGCTTATTTTGCCGCTCAAACTTCATTCTATCTTCAAATTTCTATCTGGTTTCATCTAAAAATCTCTTTCTTAGTCGACATTGATATGTTTGAATTCGTAAATCATATATTTTGTGAGATTCTTGGATAACCGAGTTCTGGGCTGGTTTCCTTTGCGTGCATCTCAAAAATTCTGAACTTCTGTCAAAGTTAATCGAGTTCAAATTGGAAGGAGGTAAACATCTAAATCTTTTCTTTAACATTGGGCTATGTTTCGCAAAAGTATACTTCTTTTACAGTCTGCTAGTCAACGTAAAAGGTTAGATTTGCAATTGACCTTTTGGTATTTTTTTGAAAGTAGACTTCTTTGTAAGTCTGCGAATTTTCATTTGAATACAAAAAAACAACGTTTAGACTTCTATTTCAGGCTGTCGAAAAGCGAGAATAGTTTTGCATTTGACCGGAAAATATTATACTTTGACCTTTTCTGCAGACTTCGTGGAGATGTCTAAAAAGATAAGTTTGACCTGAAAGGTTATTTTTGCATTTGACCAAGATGTTGACCACCTTTGACTGTTCGAGCAGACTTCTAAAGAAGTCAACTACGAATTTAATTTATAGCAGACTTCTAAAGAAGTCTACTATTAATTTAATTCAGAATTGGTCAAATGCAAAAATAACCTCTCGGCTAGAAGTCTGCTGTCAGCTATTAATTTAATTTAGAAGTCTGCTACGAAAGTCAAACTTTGGTCAATTGCAGAAATAACCTGCAGCAGACTTCGTTGGTAGTGTAGACTTCGTCAGCCGACTTCACATTAAAAGTCAAACGTTTGGTCAATTGCAGAAATAACTTTTTTCTTATGCAGACTTTATATAGAAGTCTACTACGAAAGTCAAACATTTGGTCAATTGCAAAAGTAACCCTGCCTTTTTGGCAGACTTCTTCGTGAAAGCAACCGGGTGGAGTTTTGCTGGAAGTCTGCATTTTTTTCATTTTTAAAAAGTACTTTTTAAAAACTTTTGTGTGATGAAATTTTTTTTAAAATTTTTATTCTTGTTTAGAAGGTATATTTCCTTTACCTGTATTAATTTTGTATGCTTATGTGTTATACATTAATAGTTATAATTTTTGTAGATTTGAACAGTAATTGGCACATATTAGCAGACTTCATAAGAAGTCTGCCACTGAAGTCTGCCTGTCGAAGGAGAATAACACAGCAGACAACACTTGAAGTCTGCCTAATTATTTTAGCAAAAAAATCGTTTTCGAATTAATGGTATATGCTAAAATAAATATATTGTTTGGACATGTTGATCTGCCTTTCTTGGTTCCATATATGTGAGTTTCACATTGATATGTGTTATAATTAGAAAGTGATGAATTTTCTTGAATGTTTAGACGTTTAGCCGATTATAAAGAAGTCTGCTCTATGTTACTTGGAAAACACGGTTTATCTTGTGTGGTTTACCTTTTTTGCAGATGGTGGCTCAGTTGCCTGTTGTATTTGGAGAATGGGTTATGAGTGCTCAGTCGTGGCATTTTGAGGTGGATAATCGCAAAGGAGGGAGGTTGTTCTTCTCAAATGATGGTTGTACACATGGAGAACTTGTAGCTATGGCTCTAGATGATTACATGCTGGATGGAAATACGGACAGCGTGTCTATCACTTATGCATTGCCAGATTCAATGTTAGCAAACATGGCTCCGGATACCCCTCCTATGCATATTACTAATGATAGACAAGTACAGAACTTGATTGGGCTGAGTAAGACGCATGCTATACGTCTTTGTGTATCTAGTTGCAAGGACAATGATGGACGTACTGGTGGTGTTGATGCTGCTGATGGGTGTTCTGTTGAAGGTGGGAATCAAAATACTGAGGAATGTGAAGATGAAAATGTCGATGAGTATGATGATGATGAGATAAACAAGGACATCAAAAACGATTCAGTAAAGGAGGAAGACAGTATTGACTCTGAGGGTCAGGACTCTGAGGATCAGAACTACAGCCAATATGGGAAAGTGAAGGATGAGGATTCAAATTCTGATTCAGAGGGTGAGGGTGAGTGGATTGAAGAACCGGTGAAGGCTCCTCAAAGAGGATATGAAAGAAATTGGGTTGACAAAATAACAGTAAACGGAAGTTTTGCTACAAAAGACGACCTGATTTCTGAGATCAGGTTGACGGCTGTTATGTTGAAGTTTGCATTCAGAGTTGATAAGTCATCGACACGTCTGTTTGTTGCTAAATGTGCTGTTAAAGGATGCCAATGGAGAGTTAGAGCAGCTGTAAAGAACGAAGCAAAGACGTTTTGGGTCACTAAATATGTCAAAACTCATACCTGTTCAGTTTCAGATCGGTTGGCTCACCGAAAGCATACGACTCCAAGATACATTGGAAAGTTATTTATAGAGAGTGTGGGAATAATTGATGGGATTACTGCAGAACACATCAAAGATTCAATGCAGACGATGTTTCAATTGAAAATAGACTACACAACTTCGTATAGAGCTTTGATGTATGCACAAGAATGTGTGAGGGGAAGCCCTGAGGAAGGATATAGCCGACTGCCTTCTTATTTGCGTCTGATCACTGAAGCAAATCCGGGTACTATAACTGCCCTTGAACGCGACAGTCAGAATAGGTTCAAGTACCTATTCTTAGCCTTCAGAGCCTCCATAGCTGGTTTTCAATATCTCAGACGGGTCATTGTTGTCGATGGGTGTCATCTGACTGGAAAGTATGAAGGGACTCTGCTAGTGGCCACAGCACAAGATGGTAACTTCCAGATATTTCCATTAGCTTTTGGAATAGTGGACTCTGAGAATGATCACGCATGGGAATGGTTTTCTAGAAAATTGCGGGAGTGTTTTACAGACGAGTATCCATTGGTGATAGTTTCAGACCGGCATCATTCCATTAAGAATGCATGTGAGACTGTATTACCATGGGTAACACGCGGTATATGCTATTATCATCTGCAACACAATATTGTCACTAAGTTTAAGGGGAAGCATCTTATGTACTTAGTTAAACGTGTTGCGTATGCATATAGGGTACATGATTTTAACCGTTATATGGACGAGATAAGGCATATAAAACCTGACCTTGCAACGTACCTAGAGGAGGCTGGCATTCAGTTGTGGTCAAGAGTTCACTTTCCAGGTGATAGATACAATATAAAGACGAGCAACATCGCAGAGTCTATCAACTCTGCTCTCAAACGGGCACGGGGATTTCCCATAGTATTCCTGTTGGAGTACTTACGGGCGAAGCTAACAAAGTGGTTTTGTAAAAGGCGGGAAGATGCTTTGAGTCTTCCAACCAACCATACTCGAGGAGTTGAATATTTGTTGGCAATTCGTTCACATTATGCTGATAAGTTGACGGTTGAAGGCATAGATGGTTGGCGATTCAATGTGAAAGGAGGATCACATAACTGTGTCGTTGATTTGGAACTTCAAAAGTGTGGGTGTGGCGTGTATGATATTGAGAAAATACCTTGCTCTCATGTTATAGCCGTTTCAGATGCAATGCATATGCATCTGGCCACTCTTGTATGCCCGACATACTCCAAAGATTACTTGTATGCAGCGTACTCGCATAATATATATCCTCCAAGCATTGCAATGAAAACCGATGAAACAACACAATGTCTACCTCCGGAGGTCCGACGTAAAAAAGGCAGGCAGAGGAAGTCAAGATGGCAAACTTGGCTGGAAATTTCGAGGCATAAGCAAAAGAAACCCCGTAAGATCCACAAGCAGTACAGTTGTTCGAAATGTCACCAACCAGGACATACTAGACCGGATTGTGTAAGTGTTATGTTACCTCATACTTTAAGGGTTTAGGGTCGAAGTTAATTTCCTCTGTTTTTTTTTGCAGACGTTGAAGTCAAGATAAAACCCTAAAACTATAATAGCAGACTTACACTGAAGACTACTACTAGAAGTCTTCTACCGTAGTCTGCACAAGAAGTCTGCTTCACCAGGTAAGGGAAATACTACTGAAATATGTCTGTTTAATGTCTATGTACAATCATTCTTAATTATTGTCATAAACTATGCGATATAATCAACTATGATTAGGGTAAACCTTAGAGTACGTGAATTATCACAAAAGCCACACTAGTCTATTACAAGCGTTTAGCCTCCAAAACATACTACCACACCATTGTTCTAAATATTACTAAACAAACCGAAATTAGTTAGGAACATTACAGTTAAATAAGAAAACAACAATTCTGGCAGGTTAACCAAAAACTTCCAACCATACCACACCCAACGAGAGTCATTTCTCTTTCATTACAGAATATACATAGTTGGACATATCACTTACCTTCGTATACGTCCAGCCATGGATACTCATACTTCTCTGTGCCGGTTACTCCTGTCTCGTCAATTATCTCAGCTGCCAGCTTGTCTCGGATGTTTTTAATGTTTGCATCGCACAAGGTCTTCGGAAATGGCATCCCTAGAGCATGGTATTCAAGGTACTTCAAGCAGTAAACACCACAGTCACCGCTTTGTTTGTTTTGTGGGATCAAATGCCCCTTGATTCGCTCCCACGTGAATGGATCATAAGTCAGATTGATACGGTCTTCAGCAGGTGCACACTCACGGAGTATGTAGGGAACCAAGACGGTAATCGGAGTCACAGCAGCCTCAATCTGAATATCCGATGCATGAGTATTCGCATGGCTATCCCAAATGACAATATGCTTCATCGTAATCGAAATCCACATTGTCACCCAGTGATCATCAGTGATGTGTAACATCGAGTACAGGTCATCCACATCATACCCCCACGTCTTGTTACTAACGCAATAGGTTGGGGCTGCGCCAGTGTAGTACTCGAACGAGCCAGCTGGAAGGAGCTTGCCTGAACCATCAGGATTGGCGTGAGAGTCCACAAACTCCTTGTACTTGTACCTCCACATCGTTGCAAAGTAAGAGTCGAGGAATGTTATCCTGTCCGACCTAAACCACTCAGGATGCTTTGTAAATCGCAGCCTGAGTAGGTTAATCCCAGCTTCCATGTGATGCATATTCAATGAAAACAATTATTCAAGCAGAGTGTAATATGTTGTGTTCATATCATATATACACTCGCGTAACTTACAGTATCTGCTAGCCATTGTTTAGGAACTCTTAGAATGAAGTACCAGTCCACGGATGACCATTTCACCCGCTTCGGATATGCCCTGAAAACAACACCATTTTACAATATCATCCACTACTCTTACAATGGAAAGTCTGCTTTATGCTAACTCTAAAACAAAGACTTACGGATCTTTTTTCAGACAATCAGTTAGCACACCGATTTTTTGCTTCACGTGTTTCATATCAAACGGATCATATCCGCACCCTCGGACATTTTTGTTTGGGATTATTTCCTTCGCTGTGCTGTTGGGTTTGAAAGGGCTTTGTTGTGTAGGAGCCAACTTTCGCAGATGTTCACTCTTCGCACGAGCAACCAGTTGTGCCGCCTTCTTGCCTTTCTCGTGTTTATCTTTCTGGACCTGATCGAAGTCGATGTCGCATTTTGCTGGATCAACCATAACGACGCTTGGCTCTGGAGTTCCCTGCTTACCATCGTTCACGCTCTCACTTGGGACATCAATTTGTTCATTTTGCTTAGACATAAAATTACTCTGCAAATATAAAGATTTAAACACACATCAATGAAACGAAACCAAACATCAAACATTAAAGAGTACAAATAAAAACATTAAATATTTAGTGGTGACAACGTTTTAAGGTTTTAAAACAGATTGGTAAGGTTCGATGAGAAGTTTGAAAATAAATATGGAATTTTATTTTTTCCGGGGTTTCCTTCCTCTTTTCTTTGGAGCGGGTTTTGGACTAACCCCGATATTAGGATCGGCGTCCGCGTCCGTTTGATCGTCGCCAACAGGTTTTGCGTCCTCGGCGTCTGCTTCACCAGTCTGAGCCACATCCTCCTTTGTACCTCCGGTCCCAGCTTGGAGGATCACTGCCTCTAATTTCTGCTCCACCGTTCCCAACTTTGTGTTGAGTAGTTTGATCTGAGATTCACAACTACTCAACCCATCCATCATCTTGTTGAAGCAGTCGTCCATGTGGTCCTTCAGAATCGTGACCATTGACTCATCTTCCTCACCAGAGGCTGGGCAGAACCGCTTCCGACTTCCTTGATCACCAACTGATTCCGATCGCCTCTTCAGATCGACAGACCCTTCGGACTTGACATACTTGGTCACACCTGTTGGAGGCCAATGACTCCTTTCCCATGTCCATTGTTTAGGGCCAAAATGACCATACATCGCTTTGATGATGTTGTCAGTCCTCTCGTCTTCTTCATCATCGTCTTCAATTTCCCAGCGCGGAAACATGTCGAAGAATTCCTTAACAACGTAGTTGTTAATGCGTGTCTACATGGAAATCAAAACAGAGTTATATAACTTATAATGCAGAAATCAAAACTAAGAAGTCTTCCTAAGAAGTCTTCCTAAGAAGTCTTCCTAAGAAGTCTTCCTAAAAAGTCTTCCTAAGAAGTCTTCCTGAGAAGTCTGCACTAGAAGTCTACTAAATAAGTCTGCCGATATAATAGTCAACCAAGTATGAATTCAGACTACTTACCTGTCAGAGCATATTCTCTTTCATAAATTTCCTCCCCCTGGATCCCTTGAAAGCTATCAGCGGTACATTGTGGTCGCCTGGAAGTGGTTCACCAAATTTAGCAGCAAAGTCGGGAAGAGCAAAGTAAACCCAGACTTGTAGTACTTGAACAAACCCCTCAATGGTGTACGACGACTTCCAAATTTCTTTCTCCTTCACCGACCGCATCAGGTTTTTGAAGGCCACTCTTCCCCAAGGGTAGTTCTCAAACGCTTCTAAATCCATCACAAGCCTTGCCAACCTAGCCCGAGTAGCTGAAGATGGCTTTCTTGCTTCAATGTAACTAGTATAAATGCTAAGGTATCCCAGCCTCAACCGATCTTCGGAAGACCACGACCGCATTCCTTACAAGCTTCTATCAAATCTTCAGTGCTCGGGCCCAACTCCTGATTGACTCCCAATCGCTCCCAGAAATCTTTCATCTCATCAGTTATCTCAACCATCGGATCTTAGAGGTTGTCCACATACTCGCAATTCAAGCCAGTAATATGTTCGAACTCATTCAAAGAAAAGCGGATCGGGATTAGACCTACGAGGCTCCAAATCTCAAATTTTTTCTTGCAAACTAGCTGCATGCCGAGAATGTAATGCACCAGTCTAGATGCCTAGCCGAAATCCAACTGACTGAACTTCAAGAACACTCCCAGTCTAGAGTTCAATATCTCTTCCCACTCATCTTGTGTGAGTGCTTCCTCGAGTGCAGTCATCAGCTTCGTCTCACCGCTATTGTAACCGATGCTTTTCAGTGGAGACGGCTCATCGCCTTTCGAGAAGAGACGCGGGGGGAACTCTGGGTTTTCCATTGGCTGTTCTGACGTCTGCAAAACGAAGTCCAATATTCAAGAAGTCTACTTATGAAGACTTCCGAAGAAGTCTGCACATGAAGTCAGCCAACTAAGTCTGCAATTGAAGTCTGTAGACCTAATAGTCTAATTAAAAAAAATTCAAAAATCTAGCCGCCGACAAAGTTCTTTGAAAAAACACAACCCGTTTTGAACTCCGTTTTGAACTCCGTTTTACGAGATAATACTTCCAAAATAGTTCGCCTAAACACTATACAATTAATAAATTAAAAAAAAGTACAGATATCTCTAATTCACAGCAACTAGAAACTTGGAAACGGGTATTCGATTTTTGTCCGACTTTGGAAATATCTACTCGGTGTTGTCCGATTTTTATAAAAACCGATGTAGTAACTCAAACGACTAGGAACTTGGAACCCGTAAAGATATTAATTTACAAATTATAAGAAATTAGTACAGCCAAATACCTTTCCACGACCAACGGCGGAAATGAACAGACGGCGGAATAAACAGTTACGGACGGCAGCGACACCAGATCTAGAATAGAAAGCGAAGGAGATTAGGGTTTGTGAATTACACAGACGACTTCTATCCAAAAGAGAAGTCGGCATTAAATTCGACTTACCTTAAACGGTAAACGGATGTACAGTAAAAACCGGCGACAAGTTCCGAGAACTAAACCCAAACGACAGTATTTTTTTTTTTTACCGATTTGTGTTAGTAAAGTGTTCGTAGAAAGTCTTATATATGACCGTAGAAACCTAGTTAACCGTCGTACCGGTTCAATAACCGTCGTACCATTTCAATAACTGTCGTACCAGTTCAATAACCGTCGTACCAGTTAAATAACCGTCGTACCAGTTCAATGTGGTTTATCGATTTCGTTATTTAAAACGCAATTGGTTTAGCCAATTATAGCTGGTTTGCAATATAATTTTAAAACTGTCTGGTTTAGTTTATTCGACATATTAAGTCTGCATATTAAGTCTGCTTAAGAAGTCTGTATATTAAGTCTGGTTAAGAAGTCTGTCTACGAAGTCTGCATATTAAATCTGTTTAAGAAGTCTGTCTACGAAGTCTGCATGTGTTTTTTATTAATATCATATGAAAAGTAGTTTTAGGGATTGTATGTAGAGACCCTTAACTCACGGCCTGCATATGTACACAATACACAAAGTGCACATAGATTCCCCAGTATACGAACAATGTATATGCAACAGTAAACACTAACATTAATCACCATAGAAGTCAAATACATACTAGTCTACTTAAAGGTTACACAAGTCTCTTGGTTTAGTATTCTACATCCCAACGCATTAAAACACAAGAGATTACTGCAAAAATAACTAAAAAAACACAAAGTAGGATATCAGAACCTCGATTAGCAAGTGCTTCTTTCACTCCAGCAATTTCACTCTGAATGAACCCTATGAACTCCTCGATCTCGCTAATGGTCTTCTCGGTTGCAGCAAGGCGATCCTCCAATGCATACAGCCGATTCTCATATGATTGCAGAAGGGCTGTTCGGTTGTCACGGAACATGCTTTCGCTCTGCTTGTCAATTCGTATTTGAAGAATGGTCAGCTGCTCTTCAATGGCTAGATCCCACCATTTGGAGATGTGACCCGGTTTATCCTACACATATGACAAACGAAAACTTCAGTTATACTCAATGAATAACATTAAAACTATACACATATTGAGAAAAACCTCATTAAAACTATACACATTCGCCTAATATATCAGGGCAACTATAGAACTTCCTGCCAAACGTCTCTGGAGCTGTAGACTCTTCCAATCTACATCGAAGGCCGCAATAGCATCGTTCAGGTATCCCAAAGTCTCCATCAGCTTTGGCACACCCGCTGTCATAGCTTGCTTTGGAAGATGAGCTGTTGGTGTAGCTTATCGGCATTACTCTGTAGAGATCAACCAAACAAACTTGGAAGTTAACAAACAAAAAACTAAAACAGATACGACCACATAATAACTTTGCAGCTAAAAACAAAACAACAAAAACAAGCTTTCCAAAAAAATATTTCTTACTCGCTAAACAACAAAATAACAAAAAAGGTAAATCTTGAAATAAAGTAAAAATCGAAATATTTTTACTTACTTGCTCACGGAATCTGTGAAAAAAGTATTTTTACTTAGATCAGTTAAAAAACAGTAAAGCAAAAGGACAAAAGAACAAAAGAACAATTTTAAAGGACAAACCAGTAAACAATAAGATACGGACTAAACAGAGAATGTAATGGCGAATAACTCACAGATCTGGAGAGATAACTAAGAACGATGAAGACGCCGGCTGAGATCTGCAGCAACAATATATGTAGTGATATATATGAAACAACATATGCATCAGAAACAGAAAAGAAGAGATGGGGAGCGCCGGGAAAGGCTTACTGCGAGAGAGAGTCGCGGCGAGAGAGACCAGAGTGCAGCGCCGTTTTACAGTGATCTAGGTTTTTTTATTTATGGTAACGACTGGTAAGTTTCTTTATATACTATGTTAAAAATTCCGGTTAGGTTAATTATTCTGGTTTGACTAGACTTCGATCCGTAGTCTGCTGAGCAGACTGATAAAGAAGTCTGCAGCCCTAGTTTAAAACTTTTCACTTTTTATGTTTATCCTAGATGGTTAAAAATGATTCATATTTATTAAATTATAATTTTTCTAGATCATACTTGTTGACATTTGATTTATAGAAACAAACTTCAGTTTACATTATTTTTATATAGTTTTTAAATTTAATAATATAGTAGACTTCTTTATCAGTCTGCTGAGCAGACAAATAAAGAAGTCTGCAGCCCTAGTTTAAAACTTTTCACTTTTTATGTTTATCCTAGATGGTTAAAAATGATTCATATTTATTAAATTATAATTTTTCTAGATCATACTTGTTGACATTTGATTTAATAGAAACAAACTTCAGTTTACATTATTTTTATATAATTTTTAAATTTAAAATAAGATTTAATAATATAGTAGACTTCTTTATCAGTCTGCTGAGCAGACTTCATTAGTATTGGCAGACTTCGAAGGGTTATAATCGTAATTGAGACATCCGTTTTATTGTTTACTCATGTAGGAGATAATGGTAATTTCTCTACCCCTCTGACCTATTTTTGCAATAGGTTGAATTTGGGGTATACTTTTGCATTTGGAATCAAATTGTGGCCTATTTTTAGCAATTCCCAAAAAAAAAAAAAAGAATGGATCGTGGAACGATGGAGATGAACACAAAGCAAATTATGAATGTAAAGAAAATGTTCAAAAATTTTTTTTTATAAATTTAAAGAAGCCTTAACTCGAGTTCAATATTATCATAGAATGGAAGCACTGCCAAGAAGGAAAGCATATAATCCTTTCAATGTTGACAAACTAGTTCATTGTCGTTTTCGTATCATTGGATTGTGAAGAAAAGCGTGGAAAATAAGATTCATGTAAAAGACATAACAGAAGAAACTAAACATATCATAATAATGTAAAGCTAAGGCGAAGACAAGAACTGCGAAGATGGAAGGCTTCCTCGTCCACACACGATCATATGCCCTCAAAACATTATAATAAAAACAATTAGTGCATCTATGAAGATGATGATCTAACATCATGGATCAATCATATATGATCAATTAAAAAAAAAGACCAGACCCAAATCCGGTTAAAGCAGGTTCTAAGAAGATTTAGAAGGATTGAAGATTTGACCAGCGAACAAAACGGTTTCGGTTTTGTCTTCTCTAATCAAGAAAAAAAATGGATGATCAGCCACGAAATCTATTTTCTTCGGCTTTGGTGCTGCGCCAAGATAGCTGCCAACATAAGCATTGAAAGTGAAAGCTTTAGTACATTTCTCATCAATCTCGATTGAAGCCTTTTGGTACAACAAAACTTCGAGTTCCAAATCATCAAAAACCTTTGAAGCCTCAAACCCGAATTCGATCTTAAACTTTGGTATTCTGAATTTACCAACTTCAACTTTGTAACTTGGAATGTGATTGTCCAAGAATCCATTAGTAGATGTCATTCTCTCCAAAAGATTATTGAATCCATCAATCTTGTCGGGTAGATACAAGTACATTGAGAATTTGCGGTTGGTACCATCATGGCCTTGTCGATAAGGAAGCCTAAGGACCTTGAAACCATCGTAAGCCTTAATGTATTGATCCTTATAGCTGCTCATGAATGGTACAGACACTGAGGTTCCACTGACAAGATGAAAGTCTCTGTCTCTCATCACTGCCTTCCGGAATTCGTGTTCCCAAGCTCCCTTGAAATACAATGCGTTTCCATAGATCCATTTGGTTAGGCTTGTAACTGATCCAGGAGGAAGAAGATTGTTGATGAGACCATTGGTGTGATTTGATGCCCATTCATTCACTTCCATACGCACTTGTTCAGCCTTTTGTCAAAACACCAAAAAAAACCAAACCGAACTAAGTTTTAAAAAATTTTGCACCAAAATGTAACAATGAAACCGAATGCTAAAAAAACTACTTATAAAAACTAGGTTACATAGTTTACTTGCTACATTATCCATAATAGGTTTTTCTAAAGCAAATTCAAAATATGAACCATTCTATTTCAGTTGAGACCTAGTTTAGGTTTTCTCTGTCACTAAAATTTAAACAACTCATCTACTTTTTTTGCTAAACTCTAAGAAACCCTAGAAAAGCTTGTGAAATAAGAAACTTACCTATCAACTTGAGAGAAATCAGCCTTGAAGAAATCCACTAAGAGATCCTTCGACGAGGGATCTAACGAGAGTGATTGCTCCATCCAAACTCCATTAACCGCTGCGATTTTTGCTGCCGTCAGCAGGGCTGGATCTGGGCCAAGCCCATTGAAACATTTGTTTCAAGCCCCCAAATTTTTTTGTTTAATTTAGCTTATAAATTTTTTTAAAAAACAAAAAAAATTTATAAAACCAATTAGACCCTTATTTTTGATTTTGTTTCAAGCCTCCAAAATCTCATATCCGGCTGGCCGTCGGCGCGAGGAAGATCTTAGCAAGGAGAGTGTTTCTTTGACGATGACGTCGTCGTATCCGGAGGTGGCCGCAGCCATAGTGAGCACGGCGTTGATTGATGCCGGAGAAAAGACTAAGTTTGAGTTTTTGGCTACGGCAGAGATTACTTTTCCCGCAAGGAACAGAGCGACGTCGTTTTGCTTCTTCATGGCTTTTCTTTCATCGATCGCTTTTGGCACTTCAATCTCTGCGAGAGTGGGGCTTTCGACGATTATTTCTTGCGATTTGTTGAGTTTTTGCTTTTTCTTATTTTTTCGATCCATCTTTGAGAGAGAAGAGGGATCATCGGTTGTGTCTGAAGATGTGAGAAGCTTTTGATCCATCTTTTTTTGATCCATCTTCAACGTTTTTGTTTATTTCTCTGTGAGCACACATGACACACATATATATATAGAAGAGATATAATAACCTAGTTTGTGATCAATTAACAACTTAACTAGGGCTTTGGGCCTTGTGGCGAATGGTCGGTTCTAAAACAAGAAAAAATAGAAATTAACTTGTCTTGTTATTTATTAAGAAGTTCTACCGCTTGAGAGAAGAAATAGAGTCATATATTTTGTTAACTATAGAAGTGGACAATCTAACTTTTTATAAGATTTACTCTTATGATACAACTATCAAAAACTCAAAAAACTTCTTCAATTCAACATATATGTTTCTGAAAACTTCAATTCATTTTCCTCCCTTGTTTTAAACCCAAAAAGAAACTAAAAAAAAAGGATCATGGAAAGAAGAAGAGTAACACAAAGCAAACTATGAATTTAGAGAGAATTTTCAAATTGTTTTTATATAAATTTAAAGAAGCCTTAACTCGAGTTCAATAATATCATGGAAGGGATGCACTGCAAAGAAGGAAAGCATCGTGGAAAGGAAGATTCCTGTAAAAGACATGACAGAACAAAATAAAGATATCATGATGATGAAAAGCCAAGGTAAGACAAGAACTGCCAAGATGGAAGGCTTCCTCCTCTTAAGCGCAGTGCAGACCGATCAGTTTTGATGCCCGCGTCTAATTTTTTTAATATGTTTTTTTATATATTTTTTAATAAAAAAATTTTAAAAAAAAAGAAACAAAAACTTCATAAAAAATCAAACTCCATAAACAGTTTGTAAAAAAATAAAAAAATCCAATAAAACATATAGTTTATTGCTGAAATATAGATCTTTTTGCATTTTTCCGTGTAAAATCGTTCATTAAACTTTCGTAATCGAGTTTTTCAACCATAATTATCTCAATTGATAACAAAGCTAACTCATTCAATAGCTTTTGTGACATAGTAGAACGCTAATAATTCCTTATCAGCTTCAACTTCAAGAAACTTCAAGAAACTTCTTTCATTAGTGGCAACCGATACCAGAATGGTCAACAATATACGATAAGCAATTTCTGTATTTTGACAACAATTTACTATTTTTAAAAAAAAAAATCAAACACTTCAATAGGCTTATGAATATCATCTGGTATTGATACTCGAAGAATTTTCAGTTCCATAAAGAGATCATCACCATCTATGTCTGAATGTGTACCATTCTTTAAAGAAACCTTCAAATTCGCACATAATCTCTTCAAACTATCATTGCTGGCAGATCTTAGTTTTTTTATATCAAACAAAAACCCAAAAGTTTGTTCATACTCTTGGAATGATTCAAGTTTGGACTCGAGAGAAATTAGAGCTTGATCTCTAAATTTTTTTTCTTAACAAAAAATATACCATGATACCGCAAAAAATATAACTCTAAACTCTTTAGAGTGAATGCTCGTGGCGGTCGCCTCTCTCGCCTGGCTGGGAAGCGATCATATGCTCTGAGCACATCATAATAATTAAGAAGAATTAGTGCATCTACGATGATCATAATTTAACATCATGGATCAATCATATATAATGATCAATTTGTCGTTTGTTTCGTCATTCAAAACGTTGCTACAATAGAATAGTTTGAGTTTGTTGTAATAATAATAAGAACTTAACTCATTGTATTAGTTTCGTTTTTTCAACAGATTATCATAATTAATAGATACATGCAGATCTAATGTCTACTTCATAAATTTTCATATATTTGTTTTCAATGTTTATAAATTTAAATGGCTTCTATATACATTGGAAGAAGCTCTCTACCCTTCTCACCTGATCATTAGCTTAACTTAAGATAATAATGATATATTGTGCATTTTCACTTCAGTTAAGCAAATTACTATTGACTAGATATACACAATCTCGACTAATAAACGCAATACCACTGAGCTAATATAACTTATTTAATTAGTAAAAAAAAAAAAACAACAGGTATTTTGTATTTACTTCTTATACCACGGATCATGAAGCCAATGTGTAACATTCTATAAGAACAACAATACAAAAAAAAAGGAAAAAACAAATTAAAGAAAGCGTCTCTTTTGACCTATTGATGTCTATCTGCAATCACATTTGGCTTCATTTCAATCCCAAAGTTCCCAGATTTCAGCAGATCATACCCACTTTTGGAGTTCAAATCAAAATGCACAAACCCGGATTCCGGTTTAACACCTGCATCTCCTGTTTGGTCTTCTTTCTCTCTTTCTCCACATAATCGAAATTCTTCAGACAAATCACCACCACCATTAAGGTGTGAGATATCGGTAATCAAACCTGACTTTTCGCTCTTAAGCTCATCATCTCCTACAAGCCCTGAAAGTGCGAGACTGAAATTCGAGAATTGACCCTTCTCTGTTTCAACTCCATTACCACACGGTATGCTCTTCTGTGCTTTCTCTAGTAATGTTAATAAATACTTTCCTTGTGCTTCCATTCTCATCTGCAGCTTCTTTTGCACCTATAATCAACCGCAAGAAAAAAAAAAAAAAAAAAAAAAAAAAAAAAAAAAACACTCGATTCAAATAGCTTTTCTTGATTGTTTCAAGAGAACAAAGAAAAAATTGTCCCTTTTCTTGTTTACCTCGAGCTGTTCTTGAAACCGCTGTTGCGCATCGACCTGATGTCTCAATGTATCTGCAAAAGGTACATTCCCGGTTTTTCTGTGATGGCTATCAAATCTTGATTCATTCGAGATTCCTCCTTGAGAACAATTATCAAAATGCACATATGAACTTCCTGTCACAGAAATAAATAAAAATTAATTTTTGGTTTCTCAAATGTCTACTACATATATAATTCTTTAGATCCAACACATGTATCAACTCCCATATATTCTGAATCATATCTAATTATTGTGTCATTGATTTATGATCATACACACACATACCAGCATTTTCCTTGTTTCGTTCTGCTCGATTTTGTTTCTTCCCTTGTTGTTGACCAAGTCTATACTTCTACACATTCAAATACATCACAGGGAATTATGTTTTTAAAAAAAGGCATAATCATTGTAGAACAGTATACATTATTATATAAATTCAAATTTCGTATATATATATATATATATATATATCTTATACATGTGTGTATGTGAATGGAAATTGAACCTGTAAATGGCTCTTAAGATGGTACAATGTTAAGCCTTTTAATCCCATTAGCTTCAAAACCGACTTAGGAGTTGCTTCTGTACATCAAACCAAGAACAAATGTCATTAAGCAACCGGAATAGTACATTAAGGGTTGAATTTAATGTACCAATTTCAGATTAATTTCATTAAGCTATGAATTTCAGAGAGAAATTTTCTCATTCTGTATATTCAACTGAATCTGTATCAGAAACGATGAGATATACATACATTGGTATTAACTTAACCAACCAACCAAACCGGAATAAACCGGCGTCATATTGTGAAACGGTTATCTTAATTGAAGAAGGAGGAGGAAGAGGAGCTTACTGTCTGCGCCACCGAGCTTAGCGACGGCGTCGACGAAGCGATCGTGGAGATCGGCCGTCCATCTCAGCCTCGGCTTAGGATCTCTTGTTAACATCACTCCACCATTTTCGTACCCTAAACCACCCAGATTCACTCTCTCCATTTTTTTAATTAATTAATTTTTATTTCTCTTCTCCGATCAAAAACAAATAATTGGCGGGAAAATCGACGGCGGAACGCAGAAAGAATCTAACTTCGAATTTTTCTCTTCCGAGGAGGAAAAAGCGAAACTTTTGAAGATTTTTTAGAAAAATGGTGATTGAGGTCAGATTTTTTTTGTCGGAGGAGGAAAATCTGAAGAGGGAGAAACTCGAATTTGTTCAGAGACGGGAATGCGAGTAAGAGAAATTGCTGATAATCGGCGACAAGAGGACGAGAGAAAAAGAGAGAGTAGGTTATGAAGAAAGAGATCGGAAAAAACTTTTTCAGAAAGATCTGAGAGAGAAGATGACAAACAAAGAAAGAAAGAGAAAGAAATAAAAAGTCGTCGCGGTGATGATGGTGGAGGAGGAGAAGTGGAGACATATGCTTCGTCATCTAACGTCAACCTTCGCTTTTAAAATACTATATTTTATTTATATTTCTGACTTATTTATATATAACAACAGAAATTATAATTATATATTTCTGAAAGAGAGAAATTATATGATATTTAAAAAACTACTTACCATTTTCTGTTTTTGCTCTGACGTAAATTTGCCGGCCGCTTTTCCGCCGTGGAAGTGGCCAGCGGCTACGAGACGGCGTATAAATACAATATACAATATTTTCTTTTCATCTCGATTTAAAAAAAAAAAATCCTAAGATTTCGTTAATTCATTTTCAAAATTTAAATACTCTATTTCATAAGATTTCGAATGGTTCTAAAGAAAAATAGTGTGAATAGTGCAGTTTATCTGTCTACGCTAAATACTGTAAGTGATTGGTGCGTGTGTGTTCAATGTGGTCGGGAGAATATATTTACGGTTAACATTGACACATACGGTATAAAGTGATTTTACTTAACTTCAACGACTCTTGTTTAGCAATTAGCCAATTATAGTGATTTCTTAATTAATATATTTCCCTTTAACCCTTTCTTTACTATAGATTTTGGGAGACCGATCATTATTCATATCTAATGTTCTTGCAGAATTTTTTTGTTGATCTTGACAAATGCTCGAACTCGAAAAACTCAAAATTAGTATTTTTTTCTAAAATGCATATGAGTAAGATTAGATGAATGCGTACACAAACATATATAAATATTTTTATTTAGAAACGTAACATGGCAGAGAGGAACATGGCCCGCATCATGCATATTTGTTTACTACTACTAGATTGTAATGTCCGAAGAATATAGTTTTATCGAATTATGATTTAATAAAATTTGAATAATAAAATGTTAGACTTAGGAATTTAAAAATCCAGTAACATATGACTAAAGTTTTTGTCTCATTCCCATACAATCAAATCTCTCTCCATGTTGGTCCTTTGTTTAGGGCCTTTAGGCATCATACAGATTTATATCTTACGTGTTGTCGGATATATGAATCGGATTTTGGAGTTTTAAAGAATAAAATAGTTCAGCCAAATCATTAATTACTACTATTTACACGTCCCTTGTATCTGAATAAGCAGTAAAAAAACCTTTCAAGATCATAAATCGTCAAATCGATATATAGTTCTTCTCCATTAAAACATCGTTTTTTGGTTAATAAATCGTTTTAGTATGAGTCAATTTGGTTGAATGATGTGGGATCTTACTCTATAGTGATTAGTGACAGAGGTTTAGGTCCTTCAGATTCGGATCTTAATGATGTGGGATCTTACTTATCGGTAAGAATAGTGCCCATATTATCAACGAAAAGTAGATGTAAATAAATAAATCATTTCTGTTGTTGACAAAGAAAATGAAGTAATCGTTTCATACGTCAAGGAGCAATACATGTTGAGCGGCGTCAAGCCTCTCCAACGAGAGCGACATAAAACCTTATTATTCGTTATAAATAATTTAATAAAAAAAATAACAATTCCAGTGGTATTAAAAATTAAGAATTTGAAAAAGAGAAGTTTTACGAAAAGAAAGTGCATGGGGCGAGCATGTCACGTAGACTGCCAGCGTGGAATATTCGCCGGTGGACAAGGAGAATAGAATAATCTGGAAATCACATGTTCGACGGTGGGGATATAATGGTAAATTACTTAGAAACACGTGGACTGGCTCTTTTGTCTTTTGTCTTTACGTTTATTGGATTGGGACCCACTCATATTACACGTGGATCATCGACGATCGTTTCGAGAGGAGAGATTCCATGCCATTCTTTTGTTTTATACATCTGGTACGGTTTAAAACCATATATTCTATAACCGGACCAAATCGAGGAACCGCAATCAAACAAAATGACACACAGTATTAAGATTTGCCAATTTTTGAAAACAATTAGTTGTCTAATAACAGAAAGTTATTAAATTTTCAATTCAATGAAAGTACATAAACCAATAAATTGGTTAGTAAATGGGAAGTGTGACTCTTTTACGGTTTAAATATGTTCAGAAGTAGAAGCATGTTTTTAGTCGAAAAAAAAAGTAGAAGCATGTTTTTAACTTTTTTTTGTCAACAAGCATGTTTTTAACCTTGTGCTTACGACAAAAACAAAAACAAAAACCTTGTGCTTTGTCGACCAAACACAAAAAAAAAAAAATATTGTAATAACCTTTTTCTTTTCCTGTTCGATAAAATCAATTAAAATCTTCATGAACTGGTAGTCGGTACATTCAACAAAAAGAGAAGAAATAAAAAAAAAAGTTTCACAAGACTTTAAAACCCTGAGGAAAAGTACCAAAATGCCAATTTATTACTTGGTGATCATAGAGGTTAAAACTGAAACAAACAAACAAAAATAACTAAAGTTTGATTAAATCTTTGGGGTGAGCAAATATCTTGAAAAATTGGAAGAGTGATTGAACTATTTCTTTCTCTATATCTCAATTGCAGAAATTGAGTTTCTTCATGACTTTGGCATATGCTGGTGGTACTAGCCCAGGCTGTCTCAATCTACGCTTCGATTTCTTTGACTGCATCAAGTAATATATACATACGTTACTCTCAGCATCTATAAACCTGACTCGGAAGATATTAAACCTATGGAGATGGTATTGTAAATACAACTTTACCTAATATTGTCTCTATCTAGCCAAAAGAAGGAATCAACGAAGCAGTCAAAGTTAAAAAACTAGCTCATTCACATTTTCTATGTTAAACTTACTTTCACTGTCATCAGAAATCAGACCTAACCAAGTTCTGATCAACACTGTGTTCTTCCAGAGAGATTAGCCAAAAGAACAAATACATTCAGAGATTCATATTACCTTCAAGTGTGCGTTGTGGCGCTTGCCTTCTTTCCAGCGACGGATGGTACCGTCATTGAGTGGTTTAAACCTGTCTTTGTATGACCTGAGATATAGATTCCACAAAAATACTTGTTGAGAGAGATGTACAAACTCTCCGCTCAAAAACACTATGATGATATCTAAATCTTGGGATCAGAAACGTACGAATAAAACTTTATCTTGACTTTCTTGACTTTTGATGTGATTGGAGTCCTAGGTCTCCACTTCTTCTTCCATTTTGCCATTTTTTCCTTGGTACTGATATTCCGTACTTGGACAAACTGAATGCAGAGAGGATCAAAGTCGAAAGTAGAAAAACAAGATAAGCCATCAGAGATACAAAATTGATGTTGCACACTAGAAGAAACCATTGCTTTCTTTACTGTAAATGGCTATTTCAGATTCATGCACCTATAAACCCGAAACCGGTCAGGCACATCTACAAATTTGAAAAATACATGTGTATATAAGAGACTGAGTGACGTTACACTTGCAGCAACTAGTACTGATGATACAAAACATGATATCAAAAATGCAAGAGCTACTTAATCCCTTTGCTTATTGCAGATAATCCATAATCAGAGCCAGGACAATTTTGTTTAAGGGACACGAAATTTAAGAAATGTACATGCCAAATCAAATGTTTAGACTCCAAAGAATACATGAGTGTATTTTCAGTTGGCTTAAAAGAAGATGATATCAAAATGCGAGAGTGACTATGAACAAATAACCCCTTTCACTATTGTAAATTCAACTCATAATCAGAGCCAGAACGCTCTATTTCACATGATTGAACGCAAAAATTCAAGAACTTCACACAACAGATCGAAAGTTTAAATTAAATCAACAATCAGAGCCAGGGCGATTTTGTTTCCAATGAGCAAACAAAGAGCGCAAAAAATTCAAGAGCTTCACCCAACAAATCGAAAGTGTAGATTCTAAAGAAGCAATTCAAACTACATAGCTTGTAAGATCTTTTCCTCCCTCGATCGATTTTTCTCAATCACACAAAAAAAAAAAAACGAATACACCGAAAAGTGAATGAAAGCTCTCGTTTCGTTTCTCACTAACCAAAACAGTGAACGAGAGTATCGAATACTAGAAACTTACATGATGAGGAACAAAAGTAGAACCCATGGAGCAAGCATTCAACGGAGAGACACCGCTACGCGCGGCGGCGGGAACGAAGCTCCATTTGCTCGTCGTGGCGAAACCTAGGGTTAGTTGAGAAATCGGAGAAGACGGAGAATGGTGAATCAGACGGTGAGGAGCACCGATAAAAGAGAGATTTCGATTTGATTGGACGGAAATGGAACGTAGCTTGGTGCAGAACCTCTGCATTGTCGTCTCCAAGGAAGACAATTTTTTTGATAAATCTCGATTGTGTAAAGAGAGATATCGAGAGTTTTGGGTTTTGGAGCAGCGATTTTGTGAAATGAATGAGGGAGTGTTTGGGTATCAGGATAAGTCTACTTTTACGCTTAATCAATAATTTAACTTATACTTCACAATCATTCAAATTTAATTTTCTGACTTCGTTATAAGTTTGTCATAGAAAATAATACAGTATATACGTGTTTGCATCAATTATAATAGAAATAAATTAAATAATGAAGTGGCTAACTCTTTTAAAAACAAAGTTTTTGAAAAAAAAAACTAACTCTTTGTAAAGAAATTTAAATGAATTTTATCATTAAAAAACAAAGCAAATCGGTGGAGGTCCTCTGTACATAAATGTGATTCAGAATTATGAAATTTCGTTATTCTTTTTTGGGTTAACAATTGGGTTTACCTTCCTCTGATACCATTGTAAGCAAAATCAGATTATAAAAGAGAGAAGAATGAAGCTAAGAAACCAACCTTTTTATTTTAATCAATTTTAGAACATAATTATACCTGAATTTTCATTAAATCATTGTATATTTTTCTCACTGCGCCAAATGTCTTTACTCAATTGCAAGTCTAATGGATAGCGAATGGCATAACCACTACATCAAAATGACTTGGATAGATAAATTATGTCAACAAATTGGGCTAACTAATCATGGTATCAAAATGACTTCAAATTACTTTTAGATGAGACTTAAGAACATGTCCAGTAGGGGTTCATCCCCTATTTTGGGCTCGAAACCATATGCAAATCAGAATAAAAAAAATGAAAAAAGCTCATTTACGACGGATCGGTTCATCCGGTTGAACCGGTTGAACCTGATGAATCTGCCTCTTATCCACGTGGCTGTATGGGATTAAAGGAAAATTGAGATAATTTTGGGGGAGGAAAAAAAATGTTTGACCCAAATTTCATTTCTATTTCCCCGATATTTTTGCTCTCTCGTGTTCCCTTCTCCGGCGATTCAAGACGATTCGTTCGATTCTGTGCAAACCGGCGAAAGTTTCTGGTGGGTTGGTAATCATAGCATCGCGCTTCCGTCTCATCGTCCAGGTAATCCTCTGTTCTTCAGTTCTCGGTTTTTTTTTTTACGAATTCGCAGGATTAGGGTTTCGTATATTTTGGGGAAAAACTTGAAATCCAAAATCGGTCTTTTTTTTGGGGATTTTGGGTGGATAACGGATGCTTGCCTCTTTTTTGATACCCGTAATCGATTTTGGATATTGTATTTGACTGATTTCCGTGAATTTCAAATCGACGAAATTAGGGTTTTTGAGATTGGGGAAAAATTTGGGGGCTTTTTTTTGGGGGTTTCAATTTGGATAGAAAACATGGTTTTTGTTTCGGTTTAACTCTATTTCGGACTGGATTGCATGGTCGATGAATTATGTGATGGATTTGTATGCGATGAAATTAAGGTTTTCAGAAATTTGGGGAAAATTTTGAATGCCTTTATTTTGGGGTCGCAATTGAGTTAGTACAATGACATACATGTGCTTTACCTCACGAAGTCGCTTGCATGGTTGAGTGGATTCAATTGTTCAATTTTTATTCGATTGGTTATTGTTTTTTTTCCATTTGCCTCATTCATATATGTAATTTGATTTGCTGGTTCAAATATGTGATTTGATTTGATTTATGTGAGTTGCATCATTCGGGTTTAGGTTTAGATGCTTTATCGAGGATGATTCATATAGGTGATATGATTTGGTGTTTTTAATATGTGATATTATTTGATATATGTGCTTTCCATCTATCGTTTGTATGTTTTATGTTAGATGATTTGATCATCTTGCCTTTTGCCATTGTCGATGTTAAGTAGTTATCGATGATGATGTTGTTATTGATCATGTTTTGTTTATCGACAGGTTATGCCATCCTACAGCAGCAGATCTTCTAAAGAAGAGGTCCCGTACTGGGCATACGCTGATGCTACCTACGGCATATCAGAGAAGTGCTTCTGCGGTCGTATTGTGAAGCTTCAAGCCGACGCATCCGGTCGCAAGTACTATTCTTGCCCGGAATGGATTGATGAGGTATGATTTCTATCTTGGTTATTCATCTATTTCTTTATTTGAAGTTGTATTATTATGTTTCAAATAACCAACTGTTTTTAATGGTTGTAGGGCACCTTTGACCACATTCACTAATGGTGGGATCACGCGGTAACCGAACAATGTGAAATCCTCGCCACTAGGATAGAAAAGTAGGATGAGCTCATCCGCAGTGTTCATTGGGGTAGAGTCCACTCCGTTGATCCCTTTTTAGGAGACGTCCCTGAAGAGCTAACAAGGCTGCAGTCGGAAGTCAAGGTTTTGAAGGACGAGCTTCGTAACCGAGGTGACACTATCTCGAAGGACTTATTTGTTTGTGTCATTGCAGTTACTGCTTACATCTTTAGGATTTAGAAATGGCATCATTGATGCATTCCTTAATGTTATATTTAGTACTTAATTTCGGCTTATATCTTGTATTGTTTTTTTGTGAGGAATATTTGGACTCTGCGGAAATGGTAGTTGAGGGCATATGGCACCGACCCTGTGAAGGTTAGTCATTTCAAACTTTAATGCTTGTAAAGTTGTTCTCTGTTAGGGTTTTTGAAACTTGAATGTATGGTTACTTGTTGAAACTGGCTACGCCTCTTATGTTAGCTTTAGGACTGTACTTTCGTTATCAATGCTTGATAGGACAGGATAGTTTTACGTCTGGTGTTAACTGGTAGTTCGAACCTGTTTGACAATGTTTAGTAATTCATCGAGAACTTGAATTCTCATTTAAAAAGACACCTAACTACTAATTCAATACACGTAAAAGACACTTAGCCATAAATACACAGAAAAGACTTTCAACCATAATTTTAAAAAACACTCACCAATAAATTTAACTCTCTTTAACTCTCTCTTTTCACACTTAACCTCTCTTCTCTCTTTAACACTCTTGCACTCTCTTTTCACACTTAACCTCGCTTTTCTCTTTAACACTCTTTTCAATCTTAACCTCTCATAACTCCCTTCAATTCCTTCTCGCCTTCCATTATCTTTGTAAACCTTGTACTCTCGTTCACTATTTTCTCTTTTTGTTATCTAATTCTCTCTCTCTCTTGTTTAACTTCTTGTTTCACTTTTGCACTCTCTTCTAAACTCGTTCAACCTCGTTTCAATTTTTATGGCCTCTCAGAACTCGTTCACACAGTCCGAAGGGTTTGTAAACCTCCTAAACAGTCAGTTCAACACTGACTCTTACTCACCGTCCATAGACTTGGGATCATCAGATATTCCTGTGTTTAGTACACAAGGAACTGATGATCCTGCTGAACCTGCTCTGAAGAGGAAAGTCTGGTCGCCTAAGGAAGACTTGATCCTCATTAGTTCGTGGCTCAACACCAGCAAGGACCCCATTGTCGGTAATGAACAACGAGCAGGAGCATTTTGGAAGCGTATTCAGGTGTATTACAACAACAACGAAGATCTAGTTGGGTTGCCAAGAAGAGAGTGGTCTCAATGTAAACAGCGGTGGGGAAGGATCAATGATCAGGTGTGTAAGTTTGTAGGGTCATATGCGGCTGCGCAGAAGGAGAAACGAAGTGGTCAGAATGAGAACGACGTGATGAAGCTGGCGCATGAGATTTTTTCAACGACTACTCCATTAAGTTTGCTCTGGAACATGCCTGGAGAGAGTTGCGGTTCGACCAGAAATGGTGCACAAGTAGCAAATTCAAGACGGTGCTTCAACAAAAAGAAGAAAGGTTGAAGACTCGGCTCAGTTATCAACCTCCATACATGCAAGCGAGAATGAAGATGTGGTGGAGGGTCGTCCACCTGGAGTGAAGGCGCCGAAGGCCAATGCAAGATAGTCAGGTCGTGGTAAATCCGACAACAAGGACATGAAAGAGTTTTCTTCAATGTGGGAAATGAAAGTCAAGGATCTAGAGTTGAAAGATAAGATAAGAGACAAGAGGATTCTTGAGAATCTTTTGGCTAAGAAAGAACCACTAACCGAGATTGAAATGGCACTCAAGAACAAGCTAATTTGTGCTATGTACGATCTTTAGGGTATGAACTCTGTTATTCACTTTGTTTTAGATCTAGTTTCTATGTTATTGCTTCATCAGGTTTGTATTCACTTTGGTTTGGATTGTATGATTTTTAGATAATGAAGGTTTGGGTTGTATTCACATATGATTTTTGGATTTGAAAGTGTCTATTATGTGTTGCTTTGTTGTTTTTTCACAGCCATATATGTCTAATTCTCGTGACGTTATTTTGTTTTCAGGTACTGTCACTGCAACTTGGCCAGTACAACTTGGCTTTTGATCTGTGACCACATGGAAGAAAACTTTTGATCCGTGACCACATGGAAAGCTTTTGTCTCCATTCTATTGTAACCGCTTATTTTATGTTCTAATGTAGACATATGTTCTCAATTATCATTTTAGCCACATCTTGTAACTTTCTGCCGTGTATTTATATGACTCACAACATATATATTTTCATTCAGAGTTTCACTTTGCTATCAAAGCATTTCCTCTTGGTTTTCTTTGTTCTTTTCATTCAGAGTTGCAAACTTTCACTTTGCTATCAAAGCTTTCATTCATAGTTCCAAAAAACGTTGTTCTTTTCTTACTTTCAAATCTCTTCATTCCTTACCACTTTTAAAAAAACACAAAAAATGGCAGCATCTTCAAGCAATGGATATGATGATTCATATGATGATTCATATGATTATTTTCAAGATGATGCATTTGATGATGCAATTGATGATCAATTCGATGAGATGTTCGATCAGAAGTTTGAAGCCATGTTCAATTCTATAGTTAACCAGCATGCTGAAAGAAGGAAAAAAAAAAGAAACTATTTATTGAAAGAGAGCGAGAAGAAGGTCACAAGCGGTTATGGAACGATTATTTCAGTGATGATGCAATTTATCCGTCACATATATTCCGCCGCCGTTTTAGAATGAACAAGGACTTGTTCCTGCGTATTGTTGACTGCCTCTCCAATGAAGTTCCGTACTTTCAACAAAGAAGAAATGATATCGGAAGATTGGGTTTATCCGCTCTACAAAAGTGTACGGCAGCTATTCGTATAATGGCGTACGGTACGGCAGCTGATGCAGTTGACGAATATCTCCGGCTCAGGGCTAGTACAGCATTACTATGCTTAGAGAATTTCACTGAGGGCATAATATCCTTGTTCGGAGATGAGTATCTGAGAAGACCCACATCTGATGACTTCAACGGTTATTGAACATTGGAGAGGATCGGGGCTTTCCCGGGATGATAGGAAGCATTGATTGTATGCATTAGGAGTGGAAGAATTGTCCGACCGCATGGAGAGGACAATATACACGGGGGTCAGGAAAACCGACAATCGTTTTAGAGGCCGTAGCATCCCACGATCTTTGGATATGACACGCAATTTTTGGACCTCCAGGTACATTAAATGATAATAACGTTCTTGATCGTTCACCAGTTTTTGATGACATCTTGCAAGGGAGAGCTCCAAATGTAAGATATTGGGTAAACGGTAACGAGTACCGTTTGCCATATTATCTCACTGACGGTATCTATCCGAAATGGGCTACATTTATACAATCATTTCATCTTCCTCAAGGAGAGAAACATAGGTTATTTGCAAAAACTCAAGAATTCGTCCGAAAAGATGTGGAGCGGGCTTTTGGCGTTCTGCAATCTAGATTCGCAATAATAAAAAATCTGGCTCTTTTTTGGGATAAAGAAAAAATTGGAAAGATTATGCAGGTCTCTATCATATTACACAATATGATAGTAGAAAACGAACGACATGGCTACATTCGATTCAATTTAGAAGAATTCGAACAAGGAGAAGGAAGCAGAAATTCCAATGTCGATAGGACGTATTCCACGCGTATGCCTACAAATGTCTTAAATTTGATGATGGCAAAACGAAACAAAGTCCGTGACCGACAAATACATGAACGCTTGAAAGAAGATTTAATCGAAAATATATAGACTAAATTTGGTTAAGTTTTTTTTATATTTCAAATATTGTATGTTTTTAAGATTATGTGTAATGAATTATTGTATGTTTTAAGATTATGTATAATATTTAGTATTTTCTATTATCATAAATGTTTTTTATTTTAATTATTAAAATTATTATTTTAATCGGGATGAATCCCATTTAGGGATTCATTACTAAAACCCCAATTTTACATGAAGTTGTTCCTAAATCACACAAACCCAAAATAATATTTTTTTAATCCGATGAACTCCTCTATGGAAGTCACCACTGGACATGCTCTAACTTTACGCTCTACCATGTTACCAAATTTTAGCACAGTTTATCGAAATGACAATTTATGATAATTCTATGTAGTGTAATAAGAAAAATCTGCTGATCTTGGATTTTATTATTGACTTGACATTTACATGCATTTTCATGGTTTTTTGGTTTTCATGTCTATTTAGAAGTTAATGTCTAGAGAGTCTTGTAACATATTGAAATATTTAAGATACATTTAGAGACTATAGAGATTTTTTGGACTCCGGAGTTTGGAAGAAATGAAATTCTGTTACATAGAAAAAAGACGGTGAAAAAGAAGGCGTTCCGTTGACTGCCGCTGAAATTGTTTTTATTGATTAACAGCTAAATTTTTCACTTCAAAGAAATATCTCAGTAACAAAAAACTAAAATTTTTAGTATCTTAGGTTTTTGAATTAACAATTAATTGCTGAAATTTGTTTTATTGAGCAACAACCATAATACAAACAGAACTATTTGTTGGAATCGGTCATCTTTGTTGTAACTTATCAATATCATAGCTAAAACAACTACAAAACGAACGTAATGTACTCACTCCACATCTCCACATGATATCAAAAAATTAGCTAAAAATTGGGTGATCAAACAAAACTGAACCACGCTAAAAAGAAGTAGGCGAAAAAAAAAAAACACATTACAAAAAGAATTATAAAGAAATGGGCCTGTCCGCCAAAAATAACGAACTGGGCTTTACACATGAGTGGATTATTTAGCCGTAGAATTAAAAAAAAAAAACCTAAAATTGAACCGAGAAATAATAAAAACCCTAAACGAAATTGGCGAAAGAAATAGTCTTGTTGAGATCGCCGTTTGGATCGGTTTTTTTATGAAACCATCGGCGAGATATCTGAGGAGATAACCGAACCGAACTGAATTCGCTTCAGCAATCCCCGAAGTCTCCAACTTTAGCCTTAGTTTGGTCCGAATGAAATCCTTAATTTCCCAGAAGTAATGACGAGTAGCTCGTCTTCTAAGAAACAAGCTCAAGATCAGCCTGACATTAGTGGATCCACTTCCAAATCGCAGAGAACCAAAATGAGTAAATCCGATGAAAAGGTCTGTGTATTTCTCTAATTCCAATTCGAATTTTGTTTCGCAATTTCAGTGTGAGGACGAAGAAATCATCAGAATTGTTGCAGCATTGGTCATGATCAAATGCTTAGGAATACTAAAAATCATCTCTTTTTCTCTGTGTCTGGTGATGTCTTTGTTTAATCTGCAGAAGAAGCTTAAAGACATTGAAATAAGCGTTCCACTTGTGTATGGTAATGTAGCATTCTGGCTTGGCAAGAAGGCTAGCGAGTAAGTGTTCTCTGAGAGGCTAAATTTGGGATTTGAATCTATTTTAAGTGAGTTATGAAAAAACCAAACTCGTAACTTTTTCCAAAGTCAAGTACTTTTGAAATTTTCCATTTGGGTTTATTGTTTACTGTTTTAGATCTTTTGACTAGTAACGAAAAGTTCTTAATTCCAAAAGAAAACTTTAAAAAGTTTATATTTTGACAATACCCTTTCATTTTCATGTTTCTCCAGGTATCAATCTCACAAATGGGCTGTATATGTTCGTGGGGCAACAAATGAAGATATCAGTGTTGTAATAAAGAAAGTGGTTTTCCAGCTTCATTCTAGTTTCAATAATCCGACCAGAGTTATCGAGGAGCCTCCATTCGAGGTATCTGAATCTGGTTGGGGAGAATTCGAAATTGCAATCACATTGCATTTCCACAGCGACGTCTGTGACAAGCCATTGAGTTTGTAAGCACCCATATAGATAATCTTCTCTATAGCATGTTGCTGGGACAGTGTCTTACGAGTTATTGTTGTTTTTTGGTAACTACGCAACAGATATCATCATTTAAAGTTATACCCTGAAGATGAATCAGGTCCTTTGACAATGAAGAAGCCTGTGGTTGTGGAATCTTACGACGAGATTGTGTTTCCTGATCCTTCTGAGAGCTTTTTAGCTAGAGTTCAGAATCACCCGGCTTTGACGTTTCCAAGATTACCTTCCGGTTACAACTTGCCTGCTCCTAGTATGATGTTCTGATCCTAAAAGCTTTTGCTTTCTTCTTTAGTTTGATCATGTCTTTAAAATTGCCTCTTGTTGATAGTGCAAGTCGAAGATAGTGGTAAAAAGAAGCGTGGTGATACTAAAGATCATAGTTTGGGACAGTGGTTCACTAGCTTCTCTGAAGCAGATGAGTTGTTACAGCTCGCTGCTGCTCGTCAACAGGTAATTTAACCAAAGACTGGAATTTTTTTTGTCAAATCTACATTTTTTCTGGTGCGTTTTAATGAATTGAATCGGTTTTTTCAGGTTCAAGCTCATATTGCGAAACTCAGGCGACAAATAAGTTTGCTAGAGGGACAGAATCAGACCATCAACAAAACAGGGTCTGATCCGTGAGTCTTGAGTCTGTAGCCATTCTTGCATTGAGTGTGAGAATGGCTTTGTTGTAACCTTAATGTGTATCATTATTTAGCGTAGAGTTATTTTACAATTCCCTTTTTTTCTTGTATTGATAAACATAAAAAAGATTAGTTGAGAAAAATGTATTTAGGGTCTCCTCCTCTGTTCCAGTCTTCGTTTCTCTTCAGGATTGTACAATCCGTTTCACGGTTTGGTTGATGTTCTGTTTTTTTTTAATATAACTGTTTTTTTATCGGTTTTGTAAATAATGAAATCAAATTCAAATTTTGTAAATCGGTTTGCTAGTGAAACTTCAGTTTGGTTTTTTGGAAAAAAAAAAAATATATATTAATCTGTGTTGCCCTTACAGAAAGTCCATCACTGTGACGCAAACTACAACGTGATGGATACGTTAACTAAATGATTCTCTCATTCAACTCCGAGGGCCGACCGGAGCTTAACCAAACCGTTATCTGGTCTATAGTAACCGGTTTTCGGGTCTGGTGTCCACGATGGCTTCTCTACGTTCGTTTTCGCAGCTTTCGTATTTGTTATCTTCTTCAGCTCTTCCCCTCTCATCACTTTAGCTTCTCCTTCTGAGATTTTCGTTGAATATCCTTTTCTACGATCATATCAAAAACATTATTATAAATATTGACAAAATATAATCTAAATCGTTAAAAGATTAATAATACCATCATGACATTGATTATGGTATTATTGGATTATATGTTATAAATATTGATTATGGGATTGAGAAAAATAAAAATACTCACCGTGGAATTGTGTTCGAGATAAAATAAGAGAGACGTCTAGAAAGAGAGAGAGAGATTGAGCCATTTTTTATTTTATTTTTTTCTGAAAATGTTAATCAAGAACTTAACCAAAAAAAGGAAAAATGTGCTAATAGAGAAGAAGCTTACTTTAGAATGAATTGGCATTACCGGAGGGTGAGCTTTATTTATAGACAAGACATAACCATGTTTTGTTTTGGTTGATAAAGACATGTCAATGTTGTTTAAAAGTATATTTTGATATAACAATTATAGAACCAATTATATAAATAATAAATAAAGTCAATATTTGACATTTAAATGATGAATTCGATCTTTGGATGGAATTACATTTGAGATTTTTATGATGAGTGTGTCTGTTAGAGAGGCTGGTCAACCGTTGGTGTAGCTTCATATGTCGGCTGAAACATTTTCGACTGTTGGATCATGGAATGGAGGCGGACGTGTCTTGATCGGACAATCGGACGTCAAATAAATTTTCCTTTTCAACAATGTTTACGAAAATATACGACGTATAAATTCATGAATATCTAATTATCATGGTCTAAAAAAGAACACGTTCTGATTTTTGTTGACTTCCGTGTAACGTATGACTCTATTTAACCAGGTCATATCTCTATCAACCTATCAAACCGATGCAACCAACATCTGGTTTTCTCGGTAAATATAGAAAACACAGAGGATATTTTACTAACTTCGGTCACAAGCATCATCTCTTGTTCTCCTAATCTCCTTTATTCTTCTACTTTACAGTTTAAGTAGTTTTCAGAGCGGAGTTATTTACACAGTTACACAAGTAAGTTTCAATTGATTTCAGTAAATACAAAGAGACATTTCTAAGAATCAAAAGCTATTCCGATGGACATTTCCTCAACGCTACACCATATTTTATGTATTACAGAATATGGCTAGTTCGTGATTGTTGTCTCGTCAAAAAGTGCGAATAATTAAATCTAATAGCATAAAAAGAGGGTCTCATCATTGGAAGCTGCGTCCTCAATCAAAATTGGCAGATATATACATGCTCACAAAAAAAGGAAACTCAATTCTCACCAACACACCGATGATGAGATTCGTGTCTATCAAGTATTGTCACCTAAGAAAGCGAAAACCCGTCTCTTGAAAATGCGTGCTAAATCCGTGATTTCCAATGTCCTCATTCTCTGAACACTGTTTTCTGGTTGTCCAAGTAAGTTTCTTTTACGAGATAATCTTGTCGCTGCATCAACCGTTAGACTCGCCATGTCTCTGCTCTTTGTTAATTCCCTTAAAATAGTAGATGAGCTTGAAGAGCCAGAGACCAGCCTGTTTAGTAATATCAGTATCTCTCTCATCAATAGTGTCCTGTGTCAGTTAAAATACTAAAGTCCGTCAGATTAAACCGTAAGCACAAACTCTCTGTTCCTGGAACTAATCACCCGTAAAAATTATCACCTCGCTTTGAAAAAATCTGCTTTTGGGTGGAACTCTGTTGATTCCGACTCTACTTCCGCTACTAACAGATGCAGTATCAGCATTAAAAAGTTGGTGTCTTGAGGTAGTTTGTGATTGGAGAGTAGTTCATAGCCAGAGTTTCCTGAAGAAGCTACTAAAGCCAAGATCATTATGACATTTCGACAGAGATTCAGATCCTGAAATTTCAAATCAAACAAAAAGTTTTGTTAAATCCAATTCTACTTGACATGAGAAATTCTCTTTGTTTTGTTTTTTCGTACCTCTGATGTCTTTCTGGGAGAAGTTAGACAATCTGCTAGACCTTCAAAGATCATACCAAATGCTTCCAAAGCAAAGAGGATTCCTTCGGTGACGTTTCCAGAAGCCGATGACTTCTTCTCATCTTGAAGAGAATCAAATCTTGCTAGTAGTTTAGGGCCTATGAACAGAAAATAATAAAAAGTCATACTTTGGGATAGATAATAGGTTAGAGAAGAAAGAAGAGCAACTTTCATAAAGATGGTTTTATCATAAAATAGCACACTTCAAGCTAATTCGGTACTTACAGTTGAGCAGCAAGTAGAAAAGATGAATAGCTTGTTTCCGCACACGTAAACCAGCTTCCTTTCTTAAAAGTAATGAAATGCTCCCAAACACTTCCTTCGAGACAAAACTGGTCAATGAATAGAATTTTACCGTTACACGAGTGCTGATGTTAGCAGACTAGAAAGAGAGAAAAAAGGTTAGAGTGCTTACGTTTCTCTCTCTGTAAAAGCATCAGTTCTCATCACGATTATGTTCATTATTGACACTGCTTCCAGTTTCACATTCGCTTCGGTTCTTCTACTACATATTTGGTTCATCAATTCAAACAAAGAATGCCAGTTTGGATCCCAACTTGGCTGAGCTGTATCACTATCTCTTTGACTCTTATTGCTTGACTCCGCATCAGATCTTCCCTGTAATGGGATATTACTTGAGTAAACTGACTCTCCAATGGTCAAGTTAGTCTTCCTTCTACCTTTGTATTCGTGAATTTCGGCGACCTCACTAGAGCTGGCCTCCTCACCTGTATAGAGAGCACTGAAAAAAATCAAATCAAAGTTCATAAGAATGATATACAGACTATTTGTTTTGTCATGAGAGCTCAAAAACCTATTTTATGAACTTACTAGTAACTTCATATAATAAGGGATCAAGAAAACAACAACTTATCACAATCAATGCTTTATGTCAAACGTAAAGAATTTAAAGCAAAGAAACATTGTCGAGAATTAGAAAACTAAATGCAGATAGAGAGAGTAGATACCTGGCTTCAAATCTCTTTTCAAAACCACATATATGTTCCAACAGAACATGTAGTACATGTAGAGATCTATAAACAAGAATGGCCTGCAGAACAAATGAATAAATAAAATCACAAAAAGGGAGAAACTAAAAGAGATCCAAATGCTACAAATTGCAGATAATGTCTTAAATCTAACTTACATTTTCCGCCTTACAAAGATTAAGTAGTGGTTCAACCAAGGTCTTCATATTTACCAACCCATAGCTGATCTGCAGCGGATATAGACAGTTTTATTATATAGTATGACCTATAATTTATAAAAAGTATAATGTTCGAGCAAAAAGCCTTACCTTTGTTACAGCAGAGTACAACTGATAAACTTTTACAGATTCTAATGCTTTGGAAGATTGCATATTCGACGAGGATTTCACTGCCTGTTTTTCTTTTTCTTTTTCTTGGGGAGGCGTACTCATTTCCATAAAACTGAAGAGAATCTGGAGATCTGTTGAACAAGCCTGTAGCAACTCTGATATTAGATTTTTCCTCGGATCTTGATAATGTGAGGTGCTCCAGATATCAAGCAGTTTCTTTGAAAGGTCAGCATGATTGGCCAGATCCGCCTGAACACCAGTGGTCTTGAAGCCTGACTTAAGCCAAAGCAAAAATTATTAATAGAATAACCCAAAAAGTTCTGAAATTTTTAATCCACACAACAAAACTTCAAAATCTACAAACTGGTTACTGCCAATAATCTACTAATACATACTTCTTTTATCATCTACCGCCATTGTTGAACCGTTCTCTCCATCATTTACTGAAGTTGCAACATCTGGTTCCCTGTTTCACAAGACTTCTTCATTAGACAATCATTAATGATTTCTAAAAGAGAGAATTAAAGTACCAAGCTATTGGATGTGTAGATCATGCAACATAGATGTTCGCTTGCACCCCAGTTACTCAACATGACAAACGAATTAACCTTCCAGCAATGCGGTTCACTACTTAAACTGTTTGTCATAGTGATGAGAATGCAAGAAACTCCAAATGATTGGACACTAACACACAATATTCTACAACAATAGAGACTTAATGGCAATGCTAATTCAGAAACGGATCCAAAAGAATAATATTTACTCACAAGTTAGTTCTCTTAGAAGCATGAACTGTATCACCTCGCCCATTAGTTTCAGTATGCGAGTTTTTCGTCTGTGTCTCTTTGTTTTTCCCCTTTATATGCTGTGAGCATTCTTGTTGCTGGAACAATATGGTAGTAACCATCAAAGATCTTTCAACATTTCGAAGACTTAAAAAAGAAATTCAAAAATTAAGCAGAAAGCACAAACCATATCCAGTAGCTGCTTCGAGACACGTCCCAGCTCCTTCTGTTATCATACACACCACAAAAGAACAATATATGAGAAACCAAAAGATACATACACACATACATACAAGTAGCAAAAAATATCTTGGTGATCACAGAGACAATAATCAACAAAACCCTAACCTTTAGCCGATCGATTTCGAGATCTTTCTCGCTATCACAGCGACGAGTCGAAGAACTCGGAGAGATTGGTCGAACAGTAACCACCGAAGAGTTGGGGCAATCCACTAACGCGTCACTGAAACCGCTTACTCTTTGAGAGAGTACTCTCGGTGGAGAATAGCTGAGGAAAGGATCACGAGCTGGAATTTTCCCTCGTTTTCCCGCGGATTGTAAAGGCACAGGGTGAGGTAAAGACGACGAAATCGTCGCCGGAGCCGGAGACGGAGCCGGAGGTGGTACAATCGCTGGAGCAGAAGGAGCCGGTGATTGCGTCGCCGCCTTGTCCATGGCATTAAAGGCTTCCTGAAGAAATACCTCATCCCACTCCTCAAGGTATTGTTCATCCATCATCGCTCTCTCTCTCTCTCTCTCTCTCTCAGCGAGTGAGAATTGAGAACGAGAGAGTGAAGAAATCAAAATGCCAGAAGTGGCAATACCACTGGCAATGACCCGACCCGACCCGACCCGAAAACTTCAGTAGCTGTAGCCCGGACAGACTAATGGGCCGTAAATAAACAAATTGACCTTTAAATATATTATTATTTACATTAAAGTCCTTTCAAACTTATATCTTTTAGATAGCGGCCCCGATAGTTCTCTTTGATTATCTGATTAGCAAAAGACATAAGGGAGAAGGGTTTTTAGGATTTTTTACGCCCAGCTTTGATATAAGATCGATTTCCTTCATCTTCGTTCTGCTTCGTCGAGAAATTATCCGCCATGGCTGCTCTTCAATACTTGGAATCTCAGAAAAATGCGCATCCTGAGCTCGGCGAATGGTACAATTCCCTTGCGGATCTGTATCAGAAAAAGCTCTGGCATCAGCTCACCCTTAAGCTCGAACAGTTCATCGCTCTCGCTGTCTTTCAGGTATCTTGCTTCTTCTCCGTTTTGATGGTTTTTCCATATCTATTCGCGTTTTTTTTTTCTGTAGTAGTTAGTAGTCCTTGAGGATTTAGGGTTCATAGATCTCGAGAAAGTTGGTAGAAGATGTGTTTTACTTCCGGAGGATTCAGAGATCCGTTTGGAAGATGATAGGGGTTTTTTCGAGTTAGGCTAACCTTAGAGATTTATCGAGTTAGAGTTTTTTAGATTTGCTGAAATTCGTGAGTATTCAGTTTTGTTATCGATGAACTCCGTGACGTGACCGAGCTTGAACCTTTGGTCTCAGAGATATCTTAAACCTTTCTTAAACACCTTTTTGAATCTTGTTTTGGCTTGGTTTTATCCAGTTCTGGTGTCTACTACTATTGATATGCCTGTTAACAGTGTCTTGAAAGAGCTTGTAGAATCATTATATCCGATGATTGATTTAGTTTTCGATTGAATCCAAGTTTGTGTGCCTATCTTAACTTGTTTCCTTGTTATAATGTAATTTTTTTCTCCCATTTCAGGCTGGCGATGCTTTGATACAGTTCTATAACAATTTCATCACTGACTTTGAGACGAAGATCAATCTCCTGAAGCTTGCGCATTTTGCTGTGGTTGTCTCCCGGCAGTACCCTGAGAAAGAAGCTGCAGTTAACTATCTTGAAGGAGTGATTGAGAAACTCAGAGCCACTAAAGAGCCTCGGATAACTGAACCGATCATTTATATAGAAACACAAAAGGCTTTATTCAAGCTTGAGCAAGGGGACCAGAAAGAGTGCAAGAAAATCTTGGACGATGGGAAGAGCTCTCTTGATAGTATGACTGACATCGATCCGTCGGTCTATGCCAACTTCTATTGGGTTTCTTCTCAGTACCATAAGTTCCGTCAAGAATTTTCTGATTTCTACAAAAGTGCTCTACTTTATCTTGCTTATACGTCTGTGGAGGCACTCTCAGAATCCTTTAAGCTGGTATGTCCTTGTTACGTTGCTTATCTTGTTCTATGTGTTGCTTATCAAGTTTCCTGTTGATAATTGTGGATAAGAAAGTTGGCGAAATTTAGAGGAAACCTGAGAAAATAAATGTTAGCTGCTCTAGCTTCCCTGTATTCACCGAGAATATTACTAATACCATATCATTTCTGTGTCCTTCAGGATTTGGCTTTCGATTTGTCACTTTCAGCTCTACTTGGAGAAAACATCTACAACTTTGGAGAACTGTTGGCCCATCCCATTGTAAGCTACTGAAAATTTTTCCTCTGTAGATAAGAGGTTTCTTGTTGATCTTTCGTCGGTCGGGGAACATGGAAGACAGCTTCTAAGTCTCATGGTATAGTTATGCCTAGAATTATGTAGGGATCTCTTACATGTAGTATTTCTTTTGTTACAGTTGAAAAGTCTCCTTGGAACAAATGTGGAATGGCTTTATCACATTCTCCAGGCATTCAACCATGGTGATTTAGTTCAGTACCAAGAACTGTGCCGTGTGCACCACGCGTCATTGATTGCCCAACCAGCACTGGTTGAGAATGAGCAGAGACTACTGGAAAAGATCAACATTCTCTGCCTTATCGAGATCATCTTCAGGTAACTTTCTCTCTAGGAAAATAGTATCTCACACCATTTTTACATAATAAAAATCTTGTGCTAATACAGTTACTCTTAAAAACCATACTTGTAGCCGACCTGCTGAAGATAGGACCATTCCTTTGAGTGTCATTGCTGAGCGTACTAAACTTTCCATTGAAGATGTTGAGCACCTTCTCATGAAGAGCCTTTCTGTAAGTAGTTTCCTCTTGCCTCTTTCTCTCTTGTTATGTGTATGCATTTGAGTTTGTTTTCCCAATGTTGATCAGAGAACTCTCGAACATTCTTGACGTAGAATGATTGTGATTGTGTTTGTGTGAAATCTTAAGTGCAAAATTAATGATGCAGGTGCATTTGATTGAGGGCATTATAGATCAAGTGAATGGAACAGTTTACGTCTCATGGGCTCAACCAAGAGTATTGGGGATTCCACAGATCAAGTCCTTGAGAGATCAATTGGACAGTTGGGTCGACAAAGTTCACACCACTTTGCTATCCGTTGAAGCTGAGACACCAGATCTTGTTGCAGCATAAGAAACCTTCTTCTTCTACTTGGGTCTTTTTTCTTCTTCTTCATTTTGAAGCGACTGATTGTAACTTTCTGTGGGATTAACGCAAGTTTTTATTTCAGTATTAGAAATTACAATTGCTCTCTCTTTTGTTCCATTTCAAGATTCTCTTTTTAACCCGTTGTTTGCCCACCATAATGTGCAAATTGGAATCAAAGATACTACTCCTATGTTTTGTGTTATATAACGAATCAGAAGTTGTAAAGAGAAGCCATATAAAATTCATGGAAATATATAATTCAGTTTACTCCACTATCACTATTAATTAATGATTTGATTACAATACAATCCAATGAATGCAACCAGAGAACAAATACATAGCCAAGAAATCAATTACTTCACAATCAAAACCCAAAACCCAATATAAGTATTTAGCATAAACATTGTATTGGATTTTCCTCTTCTCAAGTAACCAAATCAAACAAATTGGCAACCTTGATAAGAAAAAAAAAAAGAGTAATAGCTAAAATTACTCAAAACACTAAAATAATTAAAAAGAGTAATAGCTAAAATTACAATACATGTCGGGGGATTCCAGTTCCATCCAAATACACACCCGAAACAAACTAAAAAAAAAACAAAAACAAATCTCGACATAAAAACCGGTCAATTAATTAAAAAAGAGCAAACTGAACCGGTCGGTTAAGTAAAATCAAGCTTCCAAAAAACCGGTCATTCTAAGAACGGAGTTCCGGTGACGACTCAAGTCTCTTCCTTTGAGAGTACAAACGGAAAACGCAAGTTGCTCTTTCATTCTTCTTTCGATTATTATATGCGGAGGAGTCTTATCCTCTTCCTCCTCCATCGTTTCCCATCCCGTACACCGGAAATTACTCGCCGGAATTCTCACCGGAGACGTTTTCTCCGCCGTATCCCGCCGTTTTGTGCTCTTCTCCTTTTTTCTGGTGTTAGAGTGTTTAGTTATCCGGTTATACTCTGGGATTATGAATTTGTCGGAAAATATAATGTCTGATTCTTGAAATTCTTCCGACATTGTAATATCAAAAAGATTTAACGGAGAGAACTTTTTTAGAGATGATCGGTAAAGATTAAGATGGAGAAGAAAACATAACAATGGGGAAAATGAAATTTATAGACTGAGACGTATGGTACAAAAGAGAATCTTATGTCTTACACGTAGGATCTACGTATATAAATGTGTATGTATACATTTGTAATACGTGTACGTGTATAACTAAATCTAGTGTTGCATATGATGACGTCATCACGATACGATCATTCTATGTGAAAGTACGTGGAAGCTTCATCTGAAGCTTCATCATCACTTTCATGCCATGTAAGTATACAAAGCTTAATGAGATTTAAGACAAAGAACTAACTACTTTTGATTTCATTGACTAAGTTTAAACCTTTTAATTACCATAATTAAAGATTCGTGCATTGATTTACATTTTACAAGAATGCTTTGACTCGTATATTAAGTTATTAACTAACCAAAAGGTTAGTATTAAAAAACAAATTAAGAAGGTAGATGAATTCTTCTTTTGTCTTACACGTAGGATCTACGTAAACAAATTAAGCTTAGTGACTTTGCATTGCTTTTTTTTTTTTGTTACATTGTAGCATTGCAGAACTGCCAAATCATACGAAAAGATGTTCAATGGAATGATATAATTATAAATAATTTAAAACTATATATAAACTGAAAATAAGAAAATAGATAAATAAGTTGATTTTGAATCTCTTTTCATTAACTAAACGTTAAAAATATTGTTGAATGGTGTCCAAAAAAAATGGTTGAATGACTAAACATGCATTCTTAAAATTGTGTGGTTGATAAAATCTTATCAAACCATGAAACTATTCTGCCAGCTTACCGAACCATCAATTGAGAATCTGAATTATTAATAAAGATTGATCCTTTTTGATTAATGAATTATGAAGATTTGATGTCATAGTATTAATTTGAGTATCTACAACAACAAAACCACAATGAATTATTGGGAAAGAGTTGAGTCGGTGTGAAACAACAAAACGCAACCAGCGCGGCGCGTCCAAAAGAAAAGCTTTACGCGTTTTCCACCTCAACGTCACACGTGTACGCGGTTAATTTAGTCCAATTCCATCCACTGGTTTTCTAACACGTGTCATACTACATTCTAAACTTCTGCCACAAATATAACGTCATCAAGTGCCCCACGTATTTGTTTTATAGGCACAGTCACTTTCCTTTGCGATTACAACGTGGCGGTTTATTCTTTTTGTTGCATTTGCATTTTGGAATTTATTTTAAAGAAACTCAGACGGAAAAATCAGATGAAAAAGAAAATCAAATGAAAAATGAACATAAAAAACATACGACCAATCGTTCTTACGTTTTTTTTTTCTTTAGCTAAAACAGACGGCAAATCATTCAACACAAACTTAGAAAAGGTCAAAAAACCAGTTCAAGAAGTGGGGATTGTTAAATTAATAATTTACTTTGATAAACTAATGTTGGGAAGTCTTAACACGAAATCTCGATTCTGAAGTAGTTTCTTGAAATCCTGTACAACTATGGATGGCGTCTTTTTACCTTTTATTTGATCATTTTTCGTAGAGTTAGTGGTAAAAGCAAACCAAAAAAAATAAAATCAAATGCATTACAAAATAAACGACAAAAGAGATTAGCATTTTTGAACTTCAACATATGAGATGCAGTAAAATGTAAATTACACTGTTTTCCCGAAAATATCATTTATTATTCAAACCAGATAGTTTTGATTAGATCACATCAAACAACATTCTTTCTAACAAAATGTAGAATTTCAAAATGTGACCAAGTTAGTTTGTTCAGGAGTACAATGGTTGTTGGTTTCTGGATTAAGGCCATCTGCATTTCAGAGGCATAGCCGGCCCTAAACTGCATATTTTTTGTATAGGCCACAAGCTATAAAACAAAAAATTGGCTGTTTTACATATTTTTTTCAAAAAATAGGCTGTTTTATCTTTAAAAATTTTCATGTAAACATAGGGACTACAAGCCCATGCTTGGTTTGCTTGGGCTCAAAGCCGGCTCTGTAATCGACCTTGTTGATTTCTTCTTAGTCTACTCAATGACAATAATGACAATAATGATGAGAATGCTTCTTTGATTTTTTTTCAGACAAAGAAAGAAGTATAATGAGGTTGTCAAACACATGTTTTCAAGCTAAAATAATTTGAGATTTTAGAATAATAGGTACAGGTCACCACTTTTTTTGAAAGTTTAACCAAAAAAAAAAACTTTTTTGAAGAACACATGAGTGAACTACAAAACATTCTTTCTTTCTTTCCCTTTGATCCCATAAATCCAAAAACTAATAAAACTACCCTAAAAATCCAAAACGTCGAAATATCCAAATCTCCCAAAGTAAGCAAACAAATGATTAAACCAAGGAAACAGCAATTGGACTCCTCACAACATGAGTTCCATCGGTCCAACTAAACCATCCAAACCGATACCGATCCCTCCGAGCCTCACCTGTAAACTCGTATCTCGGTGCTTCAAAAATAATATTGAACCGCTTTTTCTGACCAATCCGATCAAAAACCAGCACATCCGGTTCAGCCTGAACCGAGACACCAAACGGCTGTTGAACATTGAAGTAATACTTGCTTGATGTTGCATTACCTGCTAGTCCAACACAAGTGACAGTCCTCGTAACGCTCACTGTCCCAGTGAGATATGGGATTGAGATTGACGGGTAATTTAAGTTATAAGCAGGAGGAACATCGGCAGGACATCGGAATGTTGGGTCAATTTCGGTTATCCCAAGTGAGCAGCAATAAAGAAGGTAAGATCGGTATGATGCATCGTAGACTAAACCGGGATATGCAGCTTTTGTTGGTCTGAAATGTCCTGAACCAAGTGCAAATGGGTCTGCGGGGTAAGCATCATAGTCTTTGATCGGTTCATTCTCCTCGTTGGTCATTGAAGCTACACTTAAAAAAAAAAGATATTAATTATCAAAAAGATCACCGATTTAATCAAAAATCAAAATTTAATCCAAAATGAAATAAACAAATTTAAGTTTTGTTGTTTCTATATGGGAACAAAACATAGTCTGATCAGAACCATAAAATCACAACACATGAAAAGCCTTAAAATTATCTAAAATTTTCTTAAAGGTTCAAATAGATTTTGCTAAAGAAAAACTGAAATTTCAGACCAAAACCGAAAATCGAAATAAACCAAATAATATTTCGATTTGTAGTCAATTTTTATACTTTTTTTAACTGATTTTTTTAAATCAAAAACAGGAAATTTTTGTTACCTGTAGTCATGAGAGCAGATCTTATAGCAGCACTACTCCATGTAGGATGAATACTTTTAAGAAGGGCAATTGCACCAGCAACATGAGGACAAGACATAGAAGTTCCTGAGTCGATATTATAATCTGTAACTCGTCTGTCTATTGAGACTTTGCTCGCTGAATCTGCCCCGCTCCATGCGGCAAGTATGTTCAGCCCTGGTGCAGTAATATCCGGCTATAAAAAAACAGTAAAAAAGGTTAGTTCCGGTGATGTTTCAAGCCACTTTTTTTTACTTTATTTCGAAATAAGAAATAACAAAATAGTTTACCTTTAAAATGTTAGGATCAGAGTCTCCTGCTAGGAAGCCTGGTAGAACA